GGCCTGTGATCATCATTCAGCGTGAACATTGGGAAGGGTGAAATAATATTGTTGATGTTACATACCGGAATAAAGCTGTAGGTGGGATAGCAGATGGGATGTGGGGTCTCCAGAAGTTACTGTATCTTCATTAGATGCATGCATGGCTATATTTATTGGGACAGTATCTATTTGTAGCATGGATCAATGTTGTAACTCTAACGAACAAGCTACACTTCCTTGTTAGAAATAGCAAGTATGTCAGCCGATCCTTGCTGGCCTATGGGTTAGGTATACTGTGTTGGCCTCATAGCTAGGTTTATTTCTAGGGAGCCACCTGGCTCCTGCTATTAGATCCGTGGTTGGCCAAGGCAATATTTTTGGAGCACATATTATTTTACAGAGGTGTGAATTAATTATGAGATAAACATGATGAAACAATGTAAATATCTTCACAGCCATGTTCCAGTCATTACAATAACCTTGCTGAAACATATTTGTAGTCATCGCAAGTCTTTTAATTGAGCAACAGTCTGATAAAACATGTGTGGTAAACGCACAATTTTGTCCCTTTGGATCAGAATTATCCCGAAATAGAGGGCTGGTATGGCTAATTATTGTTAGGCAGATTAACTGGTTAGGTTAATTAGGGTTGAGTTCTTACTTGGGGAACAGTGATTTGATACATTCCATGGATAAGGGGTCTTTGATGGAAGAAAACTAGGATGATAACCACAGACAAGGATGGGGATGCAGTGGAGAAAACTTGTTTGATGGAAAACCTGATCCCTATGCTATCAGGAACCAGTTCTTCCTAGACTATTGCGCTATTTCAACACTGTACTTGTTGTACTTGATGGCTTGACTGAATCAGGTGGCCACAGTGTCTGTGTTGTGTGGTGCATTCCAGTACTATCTGTACTTGGCAGTGTGCTTGCATGATGATCATCGGATCAACCACTGAATTATTTATAAGCTGCTGTAATAATGTGGGTGTCATATTGCCTACTAGAGACTATGTTATGTAACGAGAAGTCACTACAATCTGTTGATTCTGTAAGTAGATCAATAAGCCCTGAAGGCTCAAGTTGATCCAACTTCTGTAATCACCAGATACAAGTGATTTCCCTGACATCAACCATGCTATGGTTGATATATAATTTCTGTGGAATTTGTATATTGACCAATGGTTGCCTCATTTTTACTTGCACAAAATGCATGTTTAGAATGGCTTGAGAATTCCTGGCTCAGAATCAACAATAAGAATAGTGTGACAGCGTTAGAAACAGTTTCAGTCCACTAGTCCTCATAATGATAACATATAGGCCAATCCTTAAAAATGGCAAATTTCTACTTATTATTAGTCCTTAGGATACCTTAACTATTGGGCAGTTTGGCCAATTTCTAACGCTGTTTGATGTCATCATAATGGTTTAATCAAAGGTAAAGCCTCATCAAATGAAAGCGAGTGTCAAGCCCTAGCCTAAAATATGTCATGCAATTATTGTGAGTAGACCTACCTTTGTTGATGTTGAAACGGATGAACATGATAAACGCCATCTCATTAATCAGATAGGCCAGGTGCAGTGATACTAATATGATGATAAAAAACTTCATCATCCAAACAGCGTTAGAAATTGGCACTAGTCCTGTAGTCCTTACCAAACTGCCCAATAGTAAAGGTATCCTAAGGACTAGTAGAAATTGGCCCATTTTAAGGGTTTTGCTATATATTATCATAAGGACTATTGGACAAAAACTGTTAGTTTCTAACCCTGCCAAAACTGATTACCACAGGAGATATGGCTTGGGTGAGATCAAGCAATATCTACATTGTAAATGACATCACTAATGACTCGCTACTGAAGCTCAGTTAGCAGTACTTTTTACACTTATTACTGTCTACAAACTGAAAAAGTTTGAAGAATGATGTTGGAAGATAAATAAGATCTCACCCTCGTGTCTTTTGATGTCAAAGTCTCATAGTTTTTCCACTTTTATCAACTCGTGTTGATATATTTGATATCAAAAGACACTCAGGGGAGATTCTCTAATGTATGTCCAGATAGATGTTGATCTATTTATAAGTGATCAGCGAGGGTAAATTGTGATTTTAATTTCACATTTACATTTACATGATTTACAATATTTGTCATGCACCAAGTACACAGTGTGATTTTCATAAAACCAGTTTAGAATGTTCATTATCGATCAGTAATTTTAGAGTCATTTCATACATGCTTGCCATAGAAGGCGACTATGCTTGTCATAAGAGGCGAGTAACGGGATCAGATGGTCAGACTCGCTGACTTGTTTGTTGCATGTAATCGTATCCCAATTGCATGGATCGATGATCATGATGTCAATCACTGGATTGTCTGGTCCAAACTCGTTTATTTACAGACAGCTGACAGCAGTCATATTGCTGGAATATTGCGGACTGCAGCGTTAAACAACAAAAAAACAAAACAAATTCTTGTTGCTCATTACATAAACATGAACAGTTGCTCATGATTTGACAAGAGCTTAATGTTCCACTGTCCAGCGGATGGTAGACCCGTGTTACAGTCAGTGTGACTGGCAGGACAAGCTGCTGGTAACACTGAAACAATTGCTCCTTGAGTTTGAATCGGGTGAGTGTTTTAGAATGTGAAATTCCAGGGCCGCATTGTACAGGAGTGGGGTATTACTCACGAAATACCAGACTCCCTGTGTCACTTGCTTCATTGAGGAGCAGGGGGCTGACCCACATGTTAAACACACCACTCTGTCATTGCCATGGACTAACAAGGAAGACAGCTGGTCGGTGTTTCACAACTGCTACTCTAGATAATGCTCTCGATGTGCTAAGAGGACATATTTTATGAGTGAGTGAGTGAGTTTTACGCTGCTTTTAGTAGCAGGGGACACCAGATATGGGCTTTACACATTGTACTCCTGTGGGGAATTGAACTCGGGGACTTCAGCGTGGCAAACAAACACTTTAACCACAAGGCTATCCCACCGCTAAATATTGACAGTAGTGGGTGACCCCACCTAGATGAACACTACCAAGCTGACTGTCGTTCATTTCCCGATGAACATCAGTATGTCATGTGATTACGTTGTCAATCGAGCGGAGATCTACAGAAATACTAAAGGGACAACTGACGACACCGATTCAGGCTATGAATGATGCAGGCTTTGAGGCCAGACAGATCATTTATGTCAAAATGAAGCGTCCATTCGAAGCTGTAACAGAGAATGCTCGACTTACCAAAAGAAATCACTGAGCTCCACACTGTGGTGTATTGCTTCGGATATTCCAACTGCACCGCCTCATGCGGTAATCCCCGTCATCAGCAGCCGTAGTATGACTCAAAAACACACCAAAAGTTCACAGAACGTTAATATCAATTCATTTTCAGCATAAGCCGGGTCTGGATTTCTTTCCAACGCTAACTTTTTTTGAGAACTCATTTCAAGTGAATGACATTTCTGTAGCCGCCATTTTCTAACGTTTGTAAAACCAAGGGATGCCACTCCAAATGGAATGTTTGGGACGGATAACGTCACGACGTCACGACTCTCCACGTTGATATAGTTTGCTATATGTATCTGTCAATATAAGGATTGAAGTTGTATTTGTTGACGTTCATCAGCTGATGAAGACTGCCTCACGTGAGCAAATTTACCATGAAGCACTTTGCGCATATAGCGTCATATAGCTGGAATATTGCTGAGTGCGACGTGAAACAACAAACAAACAAAAACCTCAGGGGGAAGGAATGCATACATAATCAGAAATAAATGCAAACATTAGCTACTTGTAGAGTTTAGTTATTAATGTCGTTAAGCAATAAATCATGTAACTAACCATGGATCTGTGTTATCCTGTGGGTTACAATCCAGATCCTACTCAGGACCCACCCAACCCCAGTATCTGAGTCCAGGGCCCACTTGCACAAAGCAATCTTAGCGCTAAGATGATCTTAACTCCCATACTTTAACATAGGCTTACAATGGTCTTAGCGCTAAGATCGTTTTGTGCAAGTGGGCCCTGTACTAAAAAACAGAAATATTACAATCTATGACTAAATGACAACCTAGGATTTCAGTGAGATTGATGACTCATTTTCAGACAGCCCATGTTGAATCTAGTTTGATTTTGTTTCTGGTACTCTTTTAAATCTCTTCTGTGTTCTGCTGTTGAAAACCAACAGCTGTCTTACAACTGAACTAGATTGCTGTGACTAGAGAAATAATTGATCCTTCTAATGTCACACTGTTTATTTTATTTCATGAGCCAAAGACAAAACACTGATTTTAAAAGAACAATATTTACATACTCCCACATATATTATAAGTACTTCAAGTTTGTGTGACGTGGAGGACAATAATGATATACAGATTATTGCTGAACTTGATCACTCAGGAAGTTATATTTTCATTACCCGAAGAATAATGCTTCACTACTTTGACAACCAACCAGCATTTTGTAGAAATATAGTCTGTTGTCCATTGTGCTTGAAAATCATCAGTACAAGCTATGGAAGAATTACCATCTAAAATATTTAACCTGTATCGTGTGCAGTGTTTAAATTATGCGTGACAACATCCTTGTCATAGACCTAATGTTAAAAGTTACAGATTTAGCATTTGTTTAAGGGGCCAATTACTAAAGGAAATGACTTCAAGTACACTTAAGGACCCCCCTAAAGTTAGAATACTGATGTATACTGAACATGTATGCCAAACGAATAAATTTATTTACCCTTTACATATTTTATATCTTATTTATTTGTTGTTCAACGATATATGAAAACAACCATTCTGAAAAGAGCTGAAGAAAATGAGAATGTGGTTGATAAAATGTGTAATCTGGCTCTTTGTGTTGATAACATGGTAATTTGTTGCTCAAACTATCAACCACTGGATTGCCTGGTCCAGACTGGATTATTTTCAGACATTTTGTGTAATACTTTCCAGATGTTTTCATTTTGGTTAAATGTGGCATTTAATCGGTGCATTTTATTTTCCAGGCTGTGGCAATCAACAAGGCTATCAACAGTCAAGAAACACCTGTCAAAGAAAAACATGTTCGAAGTATCCTTCTGAATTCTGTTGTTTGTCAACCAGAAGTTTCTCAGTAACCAGCAGGTACAGGTTTATAGAAGAATCCAACTCGGTCATAGATCTTGTGCATGGAAGAAGTTTGTTTGTCGCAGATTGTAGGGAGAGATCATCCCATTGGTCATATCTAAGTAGTCCACTGGTCATTTCGAAATAGTAGTTTATGTAACCAGATCTGAGGAGAAAGCAACTTACCCAGCTATATTTGAAAATGTATATTTATGTTTTATGGCCTTGAATATATGCAATTCAGACACTCGAAGCCTGAGTCCAATAAATGAACATTCTATCAAGAACATTCAGCTGGTTCTAGTCCATAATATTACAGTCTGCAATGTTAGCCACTAGCCGGAAGCCCAGGTCTAGTAAAATGTTTGTTCCATCTAGTAAACTCACTTAGTAATAGTCTGGACAATAATAACAAAAAAATGTCGGGCCAGGAGGCTCAAATGTTTTCTTCAGAAAACGAAAAAATCTACTGAAAATGGTGCCAAATGACAAGTCTTGGCTCGAGACTTGGGTCAATTTTGGGCATGGAATCCCAGTTGCGATCACTGCTTGTACTGGACACCATGTGGTGAAGGAAGCCATTAAATGTTGAATTGCAGTGGCTGATGTCCCTCTGGACACATCTATCTACATTAGCCGTGTCCACCAACATGGTGGTCAGTGTCTGCACTGGACACATATGTTCACACACAGCAGCTCGGGCAATGTGAGACCACAGCCGATTAATCTCTTAATTTGTTTTGATAGAATTACTTGGACTGAGCATGACATGTGGAGGCTTCACAGGCTCTTGGTGTGATATTCTATACTTGGTCGGGATAAGTGACCCATCCATTAGGAGGAAATGCCATCAGAATTGATTGTCTTAATGAAAGTGATGTGATTGACCAGTCCATCAGAGATCTTGTCTCATCATCATGTTGAAAAATGAATGAAATAAATATGTGTTGAAATATGATTTTAGGATATCAGTTCAGGAAGAAATAATCAGAGGATATTTTAAATGACAAAAACCTTTACTGCTGTGTTGGTTTGTTGTGGATTTGTATTTGTGGTTGTTGGTTTTAGGAGTCTTCTCACTGCTGCAGCCCCATGCAGTCATGATAATTGCAATATGAAAATTGTAGAGAAAAATTTATGCAGTTCGTCATGTCATGTTCATACAACAATCATAAAATTATGATGGTTTTTTTTTTTTGTTGAACGCTGCACTGGCAATATTCCAGCTATTTGATGGTGGACTATAAATAGCAAAGTCTGGACCAGACAATCCAGTGATTGAGATCATGAGAATACAATGACATGCATCAACCAAGTCAGCGATTCTGACTATCTGATCCAGTTAGTCACCTCTTACGACAAGCATTATATGAGTTGCCTCTTATAACAAGCATGGGTGGCTGAAGACCAATTCTAACCTAGATATTCATGGGGCCAGGTAAATATATAAGGTCTATATTATACTTGATTCTGGGATTCCAGGGTAGAACAGATCCCTCGTATATTTGCTGGTATAATGAGGATCAGATGGTGCGATGTCCTGATGGTCTGGCTCGGTTCAGTCAACCATGTGTTCAATGCCTGTCCCACACTTGATTATTTTCCAGGGCGACAGCATGTAGCATAAAGCCACATGAATCAGTCAATTCCTTTATTTCAATTAAGCACAGATGTTATAAGACCTGTGAAGTTTGGGGTAGAATAGGCCTTCAGCAACCCATGCTTGCTGTAAAGGACGACTGTGCTTGAACGACATTGGGTGGTCTGGCATGCTGACTTGGATGATGCATGTCATCATATCCCAATTGCATGGATCGATGCTCATGATGTCAATCACTATAATGTCTGGTCAAGATTCAATTATTTACAGACCACCGTCATATACCTGGAATATTGCTGAATGTGGCGTTAAACAACAAACAAACAAACAAAACAAATGTTATAAAAGGCTATTATAGCAACAGAATTGCTATTTCATTATCAGGATAATGATTTATTAGTTTCTTTGCCCCTGTAAAGTGTTTGGAATCCGGGTTAGAAAAGGTCTCCAGCAACCTTTGTTTGTCGAACAGGGCGACTACATGGCTCAAACAGTCAGGCCTAGCGATTTGTCAGATTGGGTGTTATTGTACCCAAATGATTTAAGAATAGGTCCCGGGCAGAGCAACCTTATAGCTTGTTGTATGGGGCAACTGTATGGCCCGAGCAGTCAGGCCCAGCGATTTGGCAGATTGGGTGTTATTGTACCCTGACGACATGTTGTGATGCTCATAGCATCACTCACTGATTTGTGTGGTCCAGACTGGTCCAGACTCCATTATTTACAGGATGCATCATATTGCCATATTGTTCATAGTTCATAGTTAAACAAAAAAAACAACAACATAATTTGATTTTGATGAGATTTCTAATCATATTCAGCTGGATGTGATGATGTTGAATCCTTAAAATCAGAACGATTGAAAAGGCAACTACTATAATTCCAGACAAACTTGTGTTTCCAAGACATCAGGAATGTATCACTGCCTGCAAAACACAAGTGATGACATGGTAGACATAACATTGCTGATAACCAGATGGAAACAAAGGATCAATACTTTATAGAGTAAGTTTAACCATTATAATCTTGGCACAAGTTTGTGGTTAGGCGTTGGTTCCTTCACTCATGATACCAGTAATTTGTGGTGAGTCATAGAATAAACTTGTCAATACTGGCTAAAATTGTACCTTGACCGCGTTGATACTGACTGATTAGTAAATGGTCGCTTTGTCCCAGGAAATAGTCACAGACAAATTGGTAAATAGAGATTCCTGATTGTTGTCATGAGTGTCAGAGATCCGAAAAGCTTCTCAGCTTTGTGTGCAGTCTGTCTGGAAAGTTCGGAACAATCAACTTATTTCCGTTGCTTCAGAACCGCCCCCATTATCTGGTCCAGTAGATGGAGAGTCTGCCTGGAGAGCGGAAGATTGCAATTGGTAGTTTAATCCCCTGCTGCATTGTGGAAAAATGTTCTTTCTTGGTACCCTGCCTGGCACTTGGCATTATGGGAATAAAACAAGGACTGGTCGGCACGGAGTCGATGAACTGCATCTGAGTGGGGTATCCATGTTAAACTTCGGCATGGTAACTCAGTGGGCTAGCAGTCCAGACTAGTACATGTGCATGCACACATGCATAATCTTGAACCCGACATTTAACCACGTTTCATCTGACCTTCAGTGGGCTAGCACTATAAAATCGGCATTAGTCCACTCACATACACGTGCAATAATCCTGGACACGACGTTAAACCCAATTTTACGTCACCTTCACCTCACCTAAAAGTTCGTCAGAATTTGCTTATTGGAGCTGGTTTTAGTTCACTAGTCCTTATGATGATAACATATCTTAAATATGTCATATTTCCAGTCCTTATCATATCTTAACTATTAAGCAGTTTGGCAAGGACTGTAGGACCACTTTGGCGGTTAATACGTGGAACACAGTAATTGTTTATTATATTACTGCATAAATAGCACCTATTAGTTGAACATTACTATTAGATATAGCTGCCTTTGACACAAAAGGAAATTTGCTGATGTTGTTACTGTTATGAACAACAGCGACACCCACAAGATGATCATGAATTATTGATTCCTGAAGACAGTACTGTACAGAATTGATGACATCAGTTGTGGGATATCAGACATCAGTGTATGAAAGGAAATCTGAAGAACCATGGACGACTGAGTTTCTCTTGTACACTCCATGCAACAAAATATAAATTGTCCCCACGATAACTAGACTGGAGTTATTTTCGTAACAGATATGAATAATATTTTTTCACATGTACTTAGAAAATCATCCGTATTGGTTCCTTTGAACACAACGAAGAAGCATTAGTTTAACATGCAGGGCTTATTTCTAGATGTGAGATATTGGCGTCAGTACCAAGGTCTCAAACTGACAATAATTTCTGGGATTTCACCAATATGAAAGTAATGTTGCCAATAATAATGACAGCACCTATGATTATTGACACTTTTTGACAAAGGAAGGGTATCAATTTCTGGGAAGTTGATATCCAGGAAGGAAACAATCACCATTTGGAGATTTTATGTCTTTGCTCTTAGATTGGAACTCTCAGTAGTATCAACAGTGACACCAGTTTTCACGATTCGACTTCCATGGGCATTTAGTGAAATTTTTATATGAAAGCTAGTCATGGAATTAACTCAGTTATTTTAATACCAATTTAATATGACTATGTCTAAGTTTAATCTGCCAGGTAATTTTTTTTCTCAAAATCTTGGTGGGTTACATAGGATTTTTCATATGCTTGGAATCTTTTCAATAATGTTTTCATATTTTTTTCTGAAAAGACCAGACAACTTTTTGTCTTGTTTTACAAATTATTTTAGGAAAACACAGGCTGAGGGAGGCCAAAAGTTAGATTACTAAACATGCTAAATAGGTCAGTGCCCTGTTCCACAAATTGTTCTTGGACTGCTACAAATGTCAAATATCAATATGGTAAGATCAGTTTGTGGATAGAAGACTGCCTTGTGCATGTTGTGTTTAATCACAAATGACAAACTTCATTTTTTAACAGAAGTTTTTCGAATGATGATATTTTTATCATGCTTATGTTACCTGTTTGTTGCTTTTGGAGATTTCAAATTGAAGTTCAACACTTTTAAAAGGGGTGTCCCAAATTAGCATATTTCTCAATACAAAATTATTTCTGTTTATTAATTTTGCAAAATTTAAGGTAGACATATCTATTACAAAAATTAGAACTATTGAAATCTAATTTGTTTAAGTGAAATATATCTCCCCAAACTATCATGGTGTTAGAAATTACAGGTCCGGGCATTCTTGAGTTCTACTTCTACAGTATTTGAATCTATGGATTGTAATAAATGCCAGTAACTTTCAACATTGATATTAAGGCCGAGGCCCCATTCCACAAAGTGATGTTAGTGCTCTGATTGTCCTAGGCCTGTTAAAGTATGCGAGTCTGGATTGGCAGCCAGGAATTTTGACTTTCTTGCTGAATTTTATGTCGCTTTAAACAGCTGATTTATTATGATGGTGAATCTAAGAACTTGAGTATGGATATGTATTTGATTGAATTCCTCCTGATTGTTTATTCTTGTAACTGGAGAGTCCCCTGACATGTCTATCGCCACGGAAACATAGTGACCTCGTGGTTTCCTGTTTGCCTTCCACCCCCAGTTTCAATGATTATCCAATCTGGTCTATTCTGAGACACTTCATTACGACCTTATAGACTGTATTGGAGCCCAGTAATAAACTTATCAACCTGTCTGTGCAGAATGGTCTTGTGAGATGTCTACATTCCCTGTGTGTGTAGTCTGTTGTCTGGTTGCAAGATGACATACTGTCATGACTAATATGGTTACAAGTTTTATATGGGATTCTCAAATCATAGGTCTGTGTATTGGTAAAATCAGTGTCTTGCAGTAATTACTATATTGTTGCAATATATTGGGAGCTAATGTGTTTGACACCGATTACACATGCAGATTCCACTTTTCTACATAATAAAGTAAATATTTCTCAGCATGGTCAGTCACAACCATTTTGTTACCATGGATAACAGTGTAAGGAAATAACACTTCCACATTTCCGCTGTTTTGTTAATCTATGTGGAGGGAAACATCATTTGTGAATGAATTTATACGTGGATCCATCTTTGGTTAAGTGATACAAATAGTAAGAAAACTTAAATATATATATATTTTTTATTCTGCATACTGGACACAGAAAAAATGTAATATGTATCATTTGATGATATCATTTAATCCTATCAAAACATTACAGATAGCCTTGTAACAATTTGCCAAATTTCATTTGCATCAAGATACAGGATACGAGAGTTGTATCCTCAGACCTGGGGTCATGTATAATTTGTATTTGATTGTATTTGAACAATTAGCTAGATTTATTGTTAGTTCCTTTGATTTATTTAGAGTAAGTGAGTTTACGAAGTAGCCAGTATATTTTTTCTGTTTTGTTTCTAATCTTGGCAATGATGACCCCTTTGGCCAATGCAAGGTAAAATTGGTGTTCAGCAACGTGTGCTTGTAAGAGTTGGCTTAATGGATCCGGTGGTACTCATTGACTTGGTTGATTGAGTGTAAATATCCTACCAAGTGGGCATGGGATAGAGCTCATAACATCAATCACTGGTTTGTCTGGTCCAGAACCCTTTATATGCAGGTCATCTTGATATGGCTGATTGTTGCTGATTGCCGTGTTAAAGAACTGGCAAATAATTAGTGGTGATGTGAGTAATTGCATCAGATTTAGGAACAACAACCAGAGCTCCATGTTAGCTATGTATTTGCGTAAAATAAGCACAATAAATCACCATTGCATACCGTATATGACCATAGATAAGCTGAATTTTGAGGACCCCAAAAAAGATTCTGTAGAAAGGGTCTGCTTATGTATGGGTTACACTTTCATCAAACTCTTCTTCTGGTAGTAAGGGTGGTTGAGTAGCCTAGTGGTTAAAGCATTCACTCGTCACACCGAAGACCCGGGTTCGACTCCCGACATGGGTACAATGTGTGAAGCCCATTTCTGATGTTCCCCCACCCTGATATTGTTAGATTATTGCTAAAAGGGGCTTAAACCATACTCACTCACTTCTGGTAATAAATTTGAGTTGCTTGCGCACACTCAGCATTTAAAACATCATGATATGATTCTAGTAGATCCATTGCTATGATGATGGGTATTCAAAGTAATAGCATGTAAATTGGAAAATTGTCGGTTAACATTAGTTTGGTCAATTGTCAAATCTGTCTGCAGTCTGTATTGATGTTATTGACTGGCTGTCGCTCCATGTTTCTCCGATTGGTCCACGCTGCACCAATATGGTCACATGATATGATTAGTCACCACTTGTTAGTACCTCATTGCCAATTAAAGCTGATTTTAATAGGAAATGGGAAAATAATGATTCGGGCGAAGAACCCGAGATGGTGTTGAGTCTGGTGGAAGTCTGTTGATGTGATGGCAGTGAGACCCTGAGGGGGAAGGTATGGTCGGAACTGGTCAACACTGGAGGAGGATATAATCAGGGATGATAAGTAGAGGAGACGAAGACTTCATTGTCAATATTGTTGCATACCTGATGTCAGTCTTGGTTCATAGGAGTCATAATGACATACGCCCAGACAAGTACAAGTGCATGCACGCACACACATGCATAATCTTGAACGTGCGTTTAACCACGTTTCATCTCACCGTCATGACATCTTAAGGTTCCATACCATAATGTCAAGGAAGAATGTTGGGCTTTTGGGGATATGTTGTGAGAACACCCCCATACGGTTGGGGTTTGAGTATGTACAGAATCAGACCAGCACTCTCCTGCTGACAATCCCCATTTCATGTTACAAGATCAGCAATTTTCTGTGTCATTAACAGGTGTACAGGGCCTCTGAGGTGAATGGTCTTGTACTGGAACAGGTTTATGTTTCAGTACACTGGGGTGTATGTATAACATCCATTACAGGAGTTCTGTACAAGAACAATCATCTTTAAACTCCAAGCAAATGACACATAATAGATTGTTTACTGAGCTGCAAAGATTTCTTTCATTTTATATGTTTGTTTGGAAATTATGGTCATCTGGTGTAATAAATCATTTGATATGTCCATTTAATGCATGGAAGATAAATATGTGATCATACATACTATTTTTTTCTACTGTGAATAATGCCCTTAACTGGTGTAAGACACAATCCTTGGTACCTTCCAAGACAATGGCGGAGGGATGTTCTGGACCGTTGCCACCAAGCTGCCTGTCCAGGGCAACCCCATCGTGTGCTGGAAGTTTCTCCACGTTCTCCACAAGATACTTCGAGATGGACACCCTAATGTAAGTATTTCTCCACACATATGTAAGTGCCACTTAGACATAGACATCCCACTGTCAGTGTACTTTGACATGGACTCCTATTGTAAGTACCACTTAAGCTTGGACATGCTATTGTAAGTACCACTCAGACATGGCCATCCTATTGTAAGTACCACTTAGGTTTGGACATGCTATTGTAAGTACCACTAAGACATGGCCATCCTATTGAAAGTACCACTTAGGTTTGGACATGCTATTGTAAGTACTGCTCAGACATGGCCATCCTATTGTAGGTATCGCTCAGACATGGCCATCCTATTGTAGGTACCACTCAGACATGGCCATCCTATTGTAGGTATCGCTCAGACATGGCCATCCTATTGTAAGTACCACTCAGACATGGCCATCCTATTGTAAGTACCACTCAGACATGGCCATCCTATTGTAAGTACCACTCAGACATGGCCATCCTATTGTAGGTATCGCTCAGACATGGCCATCCTATTGAAGGTACCACTTAGGTTTGGACATCCTATTGTAGGTATCACTCAGACATGGCCATCCTAATAACAAATATATGACCCACCAAAATGAGGACAGGAGAAAGTATTGCCGGGCCTCATATAGTTCAAGCACCTTCTGGTTCCCTATCCAGTCAGGGTCAAGCTCTTCTCATTGACAAGTAATGAAAGGCTAGGCTCTCCACTTGAAGCTTCAGACAGGGGTCATCTCAAAGGAAACAGATGTAATTTAGGATATTGATGTGTATGCAGTCAACTCAGGGGATAGGACATGTCTAGATCCAGAGGACCTGAAAAACAATTACTGTGTATGTCTGTTACCTGCAAATTCTGTTCTTTCACCAGTCACTAGTCAATTCATTGGGATTCCGGGTAAGAATATGGGCTCCCAGCAACCTATGCTTGTTGAAAGAGGAGACTTAATGCATCAGGTTGTCATGTTTGGTGACTTGAATGTTTGTTAACCTGAATTGTTTTCACACTTCTTAGCCCTGTTGCGTCCCTTGGACAAGCCAGAAAACTATGAATGTGGGTTCGAATCCCGGTTCGCCCCAATTATGTTTCTAGGTTTGCCTGCACCATACCCATGCTCGTGGGTTTCACCGAAGTGGTAAACGTCTGAGACCTGCATCACTTCGGGCTTTTCTCCCACATTAAGCTGACACGCCGTGATATAACTGGAATACTGTCAAAAGCAGCGTTATTTCCAACTCACTCTTGCCCTGTTGTACTGTTATTGTAAAGAACCCTTGAGGGGACCCATGTAAGAATAGGTCCCCCAGAACTCTATTGATTGTCGTAAGAGGAGACTAAATTGGATCAGGTGGTCAAGTTTGTTTGCTCTTAATATCAACCAGTAGTTTGTCTGGCCAAGACTTAAGTATTTGCAGGGTGCCATTATGTATCTGGAATAATCATTGTTGTGTAAAACAACAGGCAATTACAATGTGTGCCCCAGCTGATGGTGTGTCATGGTACCTTGACAACATGGATGGTTGCTCATGCTATCAACCACTGGATTGTGACATTTCACAAGCCACCATGAACATTGTTGACAGCAACAACATTTGCTCATCATTAGTATGTTTGACTGTATGAAAACAATGTTAATCTGATCCTGATTCATCTTTTGACACAGCCCCATGAGTAAGTATAGACTTGTGACACAGCTGATATATGATTATGGAAGTAAACAAAGTTCAGGTGTTACGCCTTAGTACTGGCAGGGTATATGGGCTATAATTACCTGGATGGTGAGATCATTGGCTGGGAGGTTCACTCGGGATGCAGTAGGCCAGATACGTTGCCCCACTGGGATATGAGTGGAGCCAGCTCTTGAGTCTCTCACTTTGATATGCTGCAAAATTGATAATACAGCCTGATGCTCTATTCACTCACACAACTCCAAAGGTTTACATATAATCAATACATTGCAAGAGCAATGTGTCCTAGATTTATTAATATATGTAGTGTGTCATACTGATTGTATGTAACAAGTGTTAGAAGTTGTTGTATTTTCTGAGTGGGAGCATTGGAAATTCATGAATTCTGATCAGAGTTTTTTAAATATCTCTTTGGTATCGATAATTGATAAAATAGGTGTAGAGAAGATGCAGTTCTTCTGAAGAGAGCCCTGTGTGGACATGTTCACAATATCAACAGTGATACTGATTTGCATCATCTTCTTTGACATCACGATGTCAACACTGCTTGCTTCCTTTTGCTGTGTCAGGATCTGCTTGTAGTTGGTTCCAAGTTTCATACCACTTACGATCTTAGGGCCGTCATCCCCCGTTCCCGTTGGATTCACCAAAGTGGTAAATGTCCACTTCTTTGGGCCTTGGTGTTCCAACTCAATGTGCAGAGTTGCTTCCCTTTGCTGTGTCAGGATCACCTTATCCTTGGCTCTTTTGTCATCACTAGTATCAGTTGGTTTCATTAAATGGCAATATCTGTGACTTACTTTTCATTTTGGCGTAAATCCTCTTAAATCTAAGTAGACGTACTGTTATTTAGGTGAAAAAAAACATTCAAAAATTGTTTTACACCTCAACTCTCTCACTCACTCATGATGCACATCCATGTATGAAGCCTGCCCAAACTGTGCCCTCTCCTCCCCGTACCCAACAGTGTTGAATAGTTTTATCTGTTATTGAAAAGTGAAGGATGTTGAAGGTCAGATTGAGACAACAAACCTTGGCTCCACGTGTCTGTTGGTGGAGTGTTCTCTACCAGGAAATAGTCGAGCAGGAATAGATGTGATGTACCACGCACTTCCTAACATAGCCAACTTGAACCACTCAGCTGCCACTGTACAGTGACATGTGCAGGCCTGGACTGAGCTGTAGAGGATGATGGTGGTCAATACTTAAAGGGCAACGGTCACTTTGAGGTAAATTTGGAAATTTGATTTGAAGGTTTGATGATTCAAATAAAAGGGCACTGGAACAATACTTGTGGTATTGTATTTACGAAGGAGAATAATGATGTGTCAGTGTTTATTTGCACTCCTGTGGTGGCTGTAGGATCCTGTGTGATATCACACCATTGGGTTGCTGAGGCAGAAAAGGTCCCCTCTACCATAAGGCTCCCAGGCTGTGTTAGAAATCTGTTTTTCTTGAATCTAGTCCAAAGGACTTGTGTAGACCTAATTGCACTTGTCCTAATTGCACTTTATAGCTATCCCTACTTTAACACAACACAATTTTTTTACAGAATAGGCTTCCAGTGGCCCCAAGCCTGTCCAGAATAGGTTCCCAGTATCCACAAGCCTGTCCCAGTAACCCCAAGCCTGACCCAGTACCCCCAAGCCTGACCCAGTACCCCCAAGCCTGACCCAGTACCCCAAAGTCTGTCCCAGTACCCCCAAGTCTGTCGCAAGATTCAAATGATGATTGGGTGGATGCAATGTGCATGTGAATTGTTCATGCTATCAACCACTAATTTGCTGGCCCTGACTTGGTGACCAGATCTCCATGTGAGGGCTTGAATATTGCTGTCTCCGACATATTGCACCGGGTCTGATAGACATGGTAACAGTCATAATGGCACAGTAAAAATAAGTTCCCGGTGCCAGAAGGGCCTAGAAAACATGATGTTGACAATATTATCAATCCCACTGAAAGGGGGAAGGGGCTAACTTTAAAAAATATTACAACTAATTATTATCTAGCCTTCTTGAAATAACAATAATTATTCTTCTAGTTGGCACAAATTAGTTCCAAAGGAACACCTAAATATATTTGGGAGTGCACTTGAAAGAAACTGTTTCCCTCCTTGTTACAGTGTTCTCTTAATCCCTGTGTAATACATGTATCTCCAAGTGTAGTTGGTGCCTTCCTATAGTGTAATATAAGCTTGGTAAGTATCCAGTATAGTGATGAAGACATGGTGTTATATAAAGAGAGTGTTCATTTATATCTCCAAGTGTAGTTGATGCCTTCCTTTAGTGTAATATAAGCTTGGTAGGTATCCAGTATAGTGATGAAGACATGGTGTTATATAAAGAGAGTGTTCATTTATATCTCCAAGTGTAGTTGGTGCCTTCCTATAGTGTAATATAAGCTTGGTAAGTATCCAGCATAGTGATGAAGACATGTTGTTATATAAAGAGAGTGTTCATTTATATCTCCAAGTGTAGTTGGTGCCTTCCTATAGTGTAATATAAGCTTGGTAAGTATCCAGTATAGTGATGAAGACATGTTGTTATATAAAGAGAGTGTTCATTTATATCTCCAAGTGTAGTTGGTGCCTTCCTTTAGTGTAATATAAGCTTGGTAAGTATCCAGTATAGTGATGAAGACATGCTGTTATATAAAGAGAGTGTTCATTTATATCTCCAAGTGTAGTTGGTGCCTTCCTATAGTGTAATATAAGCTTGGTAAGTATCCAGTATAGTGATGAAGACATGGTGTTATATAAAGAGAGTGTTCATTTATATCTCCAAGTGTAGTTGGTGCCTTCCTATAGTGTAATATAAGCTTGGTAGGTACCCAGTATAGTGATGAAGACATGGTGTTATATAAAGAGAGTGTTCATTTAAATGTTTGCAGAAGTGGGCAAGCCATTGTTCTGTACTGGGTCAAGTATTAGGTTAAATATCATTCACATGGCAAAGTAGGGTCACATTCACGGAGGAGTTTTTTCATTTACTCCCATGTGTTTGTCATTGGTGGTTTTCAGAAGAACTTGATGTTCACATGATACAGGCACGTTTATATATTTAACTACACTAGAGCACAAGTTGTCTGGTTGTAATAAAGATTTCTCCAGTTGGAGGTTCAATTGAAACGGCTCATTGATGATAATGATGCTTATTCCAAACTTGTATCTTATTGCAACTGGGTCAAAACCATTTGGTTGCTTGTATAAATGTTATTTGATACAATGAAACCCGTGAAGATCCGGGGTAGAATAGGTCTTCAGCAACCCATGCTTGCCGTAAAAGGTGACTATGCTTGTCATAAGAAGACAACTAACGGGATCGGGTGGTCAGGCTCGCTGACTTTGTTGATGCATGTCATCGATCCCAATTGCATGGATTGAAGCTCATGATATCAATCGCTGGATTGTCTGGTCCAGACTTGATTATTTACAGACCGCCGTCATATAGCTGGAACATTGCTGAGTGCGGCATTAAACAACAAACCAACCAATGATACAATAATGTTTTATGTTATGATTATGCTTGTTGATGCTGAAATGTTTTGAGATGTTGATAAGGAGTAAGTGATAAAGTGAATGTGATGGCTGTGGTTTCAAATGATGTTGATGATGATGATGATGATGGATGATGAGTGATGATGAGTGAGTGAGTATGGTTTTGCACCCCTCTTAGCAATATTCCAGCAATATCGCAGTGGGGGACACCAGAAATGGGCTTCACACATTGTGTGCATGTGGGAAATCGAGCCCGGAACTTCAGTGTGACGAGTGAACGCTTTAACCACTAGGCTACCTCACCACCCATGATGATGATGATGATTATGATGATGATGATGATGATGATGATACATGAAGATTGTTCAGTGAGTTCATGTTATATTTGCAGGTCATTATTGATTCCATGAAGTACAGGAGTCACCTCACAGACCTGGGAAAGCTATGGGTAAGTATTGCCCAGGACTCTGTCAGTACATGATGCTTGTCATGGGGATTGGGAGGCCACAATGGCTGCCTAGTGCAGACAGTGCATGGTGACTTCATGGTCATGATCAACCAGTGGTATGCCTGCTCTAGCCCTGAATACACACCGCAGCACCTTGTGATACAGCTGTAATGCTTGTGTTCATTCTTGAGCCTTGGAACATCTATCTGCATTACGGCTAAAGAATATCTACGTGTGGTAATTGGTCATGTTGTTTGCAATGTGAAAAGAACCTGTAATTGTTAACACCAACATAGTTAGAATGCATCAGTGCTCATTTCTCAGCATGTCAAGTCCCTAGGTTGTGTAGCGTCTAATTTGAGTTTGGTATATTTTTGTCGACTAGAGTTCAGCATCCCACATTTTATTTATGATCACTTTACATGAAATCCTTTGGAAAGTTACTCTATGTTCTGTCTGGCTGTCTTTGATAATTTGTCCAGTGGGTATTTTCCTTACACTAGCCATTTATAATTCATCAATACACCCACGTCCTGTGGGACAAGGCACTACATTTATGCTGAGCACAGTGTTTCTAGCCTATTGAAGTAATACTTGTTCCTGTCATAACATTTCCCACAGGAATCAGTCTTTCTGGTACATTCTCAGCTTCCTAGCACATAAAAAGTATTTTCCCAACGACATGTTCCAGTGTAGAAAGAACCTGTATTGATTCTTGTGCTGTGATACTATCATTGGACAGACTAACTGCCTTGTAAAAGGATCTAAGTTTTCTCCTTGCTGTGTAAATGGAACTAGTTGTCAGAGAATATGTATTTTTTGGCCATTGAATCCAGTGTTCCAGCTCATTTATTGGACATTTTGATCACACCATCACTGCCAAACATTGTTGATGTGCAATTTGCTGTAAAGACTTGATGTGTTTATGGGACTGAATGAGTTGTATGATCATCATTCTCTGATGGAAAAAGTATACCTTTGGCATTTGTCATTAGAAAAAAATAATGTCTTTACACAAAAGATAGACCCGTGAAGATCCGGGTTAGAATAGGTCTTCAGCAACCCATACTGAATAAGAGGTGACTATCTTTGTCGTAAGAGGTGACTAACGGGATCGGGTGGTCAGGCTTGCTGACTTGGTTGATGCATGTCATCGTATCCCAATTGCGTAGATCGATGCTCATGATGTCAATCGCTGGATTGTCTGGTCCAGACTAGATTATTTACAGAGTGCCGTCATAACGCTGAAATTTTGGTTAGTGCTGTGTTAAACAACGAACAAACAAACAAACTAATTACACAAATGATGCCACATGATAATAGCCCTTTTTGACCCACTGGTTCCAGGGGGAAGACTTTAGAATTCATTATGAAAGCTATCAGAGGTACTCCAGCGGTAGAAATTAACATTTTTAGTCCACTGGTCCTTATAATGATATCATATAGCAAAGTCTTTTAAAATGGCAAATTTCTATTTGTCCTTATGACACCTTAACCATTGGGCAGTTTGGCAAGGACTACAGGACTAGTGCCATATTCTAACGCTGTAACTCCCATACTTTAACATAGGCTTACAATAGTTCTAGCGCTAAGATCGCTTTGTGCAAGTGGGCCCTTGACTGGTGCCATATTCTAACGCTGTACTCATGTGTAAGAAAATTTGATTTTTTCAACATGGGAAGGTTTTGGACTTAGAACAACACCATATGTGAGGTTATTTTAAGGCTCAAAGGCTGCTTTGCTGAGAAAATAATTGTCTGCTAAACATAATCTTGAAACTTGATGAAGACAGTTCGACTTTGTTGAATTAATAATACCTTCATGTCTGTGAGCATAGTTATATAATGTAGGAGTTAACATTTGTCAGTAATTTGAGATACTCCTAATTCTACGTACTAGTCTGTTTGAATTGATAGGAGCTAAAAGTACAGCTTAAACAACTAATCATCTTGTGTACAATTCCTGTTGTACAAGACAATGATAGGACTTAGAAACATGAAGAACAAATAAATGTTCATTCATTGTACCAGTAAGCACATCAAGGACCAGAAGGTAAGTTTCATGAAGCTATTGATCATTACTTCCACTGAACTCTCTGATTGAAATAGGAATATGTATAAAAAGAAAACTAATTTGTGTGGCATTATGTGACATGTAGTTGCTACAATTTAGACGAGACACAAACCTGTGACTGGGGGTTCAAATCCAGTATTTGCACTGATAATGTTTCTAGGTTTGTCTGATCCACACTTGTGCTTATGGTTTCACCAAGGACTAAGACCTTACTCGAGCTTTTTCCCAAAGCCAACAAGCTGTGATATAACTCAAATACTTTAATTGAAGTTATGTTTGCACGATCTTCAGTATGTTAAGTAAGAATTCACCATTGTATATAAGGTATGAGTGTTATAACATTGATTCGGAAGTCAGCAGTTGGACAAAGTGACGTTAAAGCAACTCCCTCACGTTGTTTGAAATGCTTACATTATAAGGAAATGACTCAGTGAGTGAAAACCACTTGTGTATACTCTGAGAAAACATGCCAACTATATCGAGTGGGATAACACGAATAGCAGGGTGAAGACCTGGCCTGATACAGCCATGCTGGAGACGAGACAGCTGTGTGAACAGGTTGATGTGTGTGTTCCTGTTCTACACATGTACTGTATTATACAGAGTTGGGGGGACACAGTTGACCCTGATATTCGCTGTTGACAGTTGCTTCCCTTAGCATGGCCAGGATCCGCTGTCATCTGCATCATCTGCAGCTTTTCACAACCCCAAAACTGCAATATGTGACATTGTTTCATTTTCTCCCCCAATTCATTGCTGACACCTTGGCAGTGTTGGGGACTGTTACAAAATACTTGTAATTTTGATTAACCCTTTCAGGGTAAATAATCAAAATAAATGGAAATGACACAAAAAATCCAACATCAATACATCAATGTACATGCAAAATGAGTGAAGATTGGTTTGGAAATAAAAACTTTGAAAATATGTTCGCTACATTTCTGTAGCGAAGAACCCTGTCATTGCTTATGTAGTATTAAGGCTAATGGCTGTACAGCTGGACATGATGGGTTAAATCAAGCAAGGCCACGGTTTATTTCAGACTAGTAGTTTGTGTGACATAAATTGAATTTGGAAGAATATGAGTGCTGACTTCAAGTTGTCCTGGATTTTTCACCAGTCTGAAAGCCCAGTCACCGAAGGTGCCACAATTTGCAGTACAATCAGAGTTGAATTCCTTTGGTATGCCAGAAAGCTGTATGATCATGGGTTCAAATTCCAGATTCACACTGATTTTGTTAGCAGCATAGCTGCGCAACATCAAGAACCTGCATCACTTTCCTCCCACAACAAGCTGTCACGCAGTTAGGTCACTGAAATACTGCTCAAAACATGGTTAAGCCAAACTCACTACTCTTCTGGAGAATGGCTTATGTGCATGTGATGTTCAACAGTAGCCACTCACTAGTCTCAGGATTAGTGGCCATGTCTGACCTTGCTTTGGACATACTCTTCTGCAGAATGGGTTATGCCCAAGTGGTGTTCAACAGTATTCACTCACTAGTCTCAGGATTAGTGGCCATGTCTGATCCTGCTTTGGGCATACTCTTCTGTAGAATGGGTTATGCCCAGGTGGTGTTCAACAGTAGCCACTCACTAGTCTCAGGATTAGTGGCCATGTCTGATCCTGCTTTGGACATACTCTTCTGTAGAACGGGTTATGCCCAGGTGGTGTTCAACAGTAGTCACTCACCAGGCTCAGGATTAGTGGCCATGTCTGATCCTGCTTTGGACATACTCTTCTGTAGAATGGGTTATGCCCAAGTGGTGTTCAACAGTAGTCACTCACTAGTCTCAGGATTAGTGGCCATGTTTCATCCTGCTTTGGACATACTCTTCTGTAGAATGGGTTATGCCCAAGTGGTGTTCAGCAGTAGCCACTCACTCACTAGTCTCAGGATTAGTGGCCATGTCTGATCCTGCTTTGGACATTCTCTTCTGTAGAATGGGTTATGCCCAAGTGGTGTTCAGCAGTAGCCACTCACTAGTCTCAGGATTGATCCTAGTCTGATCCTGCTTTGGGCATACTGTTCTGCAGAATTGCTTAAAAGCAAGTTGACCAGTGAAGATCGGGTGTAGAATAGGTCTTCAGCAACCCATGCTTGCCGTAAAAGGCGACTAGTGGGATCGGGTGGTCATGCTCGCAGACTTTGTCGATGCATGTCATCGATGCCAATTGCGTGGATCGATGCTCATGATATCAATCACTGGATATTGCTGGAATATTGCTGAGTGTGGGGTTTAAACAACACACAAACCAAATGTTAGCAAGTGGTGTTCAGCAGTTATCACAAGTTATGTCAAGCACAGTAGATCAGGAAATACATGTGATAGAGATGTCGATGGTTGGAGTTATCTACATCACATATGTGAAGAATTTGGCCCCTCTGATTTGAGGTATTGGGTTCCATGCTAGTTAGTGGTAATGTGTGATACAGATCTCTATCTACATGATTTAGTGATTTAGAGGGATGGAAGCTGTGAAATGGCTGTTTTCTCTTTTAGATTTTCTCATTAATGTGTGAAAGAGTAGGTACTTGTGACACAGAACTATCAGGCTGGCAGCTCTAGTCTGCATAGTGAGAGCTTGAGTAGAAAGTGTAATTAACTAATTAGATGGCAGTAGACTTGATAGCTCAAGGTAACTCAGGGGTCACATTGTTAGTCATGGGAGGGATCTCAATGGGTTGGTCTCTTTGGCTGTTTTTGGACAGCATATCGTGTGTGAAATATTTATTTCATCAGCACTAGCCACATATTTTACTAGCCAATTGCAGAATTAAGTAGCCATTTTTTTTACCCACCAAATACAAGAAATTGGTTAGCAGCTGAGTGAGGGAAAAGTTATTTCAAGCTTCAACATGGTTAAGACCAGTCAATATCAAACATGTTTCTGTCAGAACTAGAGCCGAACAATGAGAGGTGGTATGTTTGTCTTTTTGTTTTTTTTAATTGGTCTTATTTCTCAATCAATATTTCCCATTTGAGGTAGGTTATGAGGTCTAAATATAGCTCACTAGGTAGAAAATTAAGCTAGCCAGTTGGGCTCATGACATCAATTCTTTTTCACTTGCTGGAAAGAAAAGCAAGTAGCTACGGGGTAGAGGGCAGGCAATTATTTCACATATTGAGGATATGCATTCATTTAAATCTATTCCAATGAACATGATGAATGTGTCTCCCTTCCAGGGTCATCTTAAGGAGGGATATGGCAAACTGATAGCATCGTACTGTAAGCTGCTGAAGCAGAAGCTAGCCTTCCACAGGAAGGTAAGAAACAGATCAGCTGCTACAAACTGACCTGCAGGTACAGGCTGCACCCAGTAGTACCCTATTGTTCTGTAAGATGCTGAAGCAGAAGCTAGCCTTCCACAGGAAGGTAAGAAACAGATCAGCTGCTACAAACTGACCTGCAGGTACAGGCTGCACTCAGTACCCTATTGTTCTGTAAGATGCTGAAGCAGAAGCTAGCCTTCCACAGGAAGGTAAGAAACAGATCAGCTGCTACAAACTGACCTGCAGGTACAGGCTGCACCCAGTACCCTATTGTTCTGTAAGATGCTGAAGCAGAAGCTAGCCTTCCACAGGAAGGTAAGAAACAGATCAGCTGCTACAAACTGACCTGCAGGTACAGGCTGCACCCAGTAGTACCCTATTGTTCTGTAAGATGCTGAAGCAGAAGCTAGCCTTCCACAGGAAGGTAAGAAACAGATCAGCTGCTACAAACTGACCTGCAGGTACAGGCTGCACCCAGTACCCTATTGTTTTGTAAGATGCTGAAGCAGAAGCTAGCCTTCCACAGGAAGGTAAGAAACAGATCAGTTGCTACAAACTGACCTGCAGGTACAGGCTGCACCCAGTACCCTATTGTTTTGTAAGATGCAACTCAAACTGGTTTTGTAAGGTCAAAAGTAACCTATGTTTATCATGCAATGTGACTTTTAAAAGGATCTAAACCATGAAGATCCGGGTTAGAATTGATTTTCTGCAACTCTTGCTTGTAAGAGGCGACTGATGGGATCGGGTGGTGACTTGGTTGGTGCATGTCATCGTATCCAATTTGGCTAGATCGATGCTCATGATGTCAATCAATGGAGTGTCTGGTCCAGACTCTATTATTTATTGACCGCCGTCATCTAGCTGAGATATTACTGAGTGCTGCGATAAACAACATACAAACAAACAATAAAGTAAATGGAACTGGTGATCAGACTTGGTTGATAGTGTATCTCACTCACTCACTCACTCACTCACTCACTCACTCACTCACTCACTCACTCACTCACTCACTCACTCACTCACTCACTCACTCACTCACTCACTCACTCACTCACTCACTCACTCACTCACTCACTCACTCACTCACTCACCTCACTCACCTCACTCACTAACTCACTCACCAGCTCACCAGCATGTACATTGTGTTCTAAAGCAAAATGTTCAGCTGTCTTTGATTGGTTTTCTTTCAGTTTCCCCGAATTCCAGGAAACATGATGATGTCCGATGAAACTTTCAACAAAATTTGTGGATCCGATGTGAACAGCTAGTGCGTATATTCTGATATGATTCCACAATTAAAAAATACACTTTAATTATTAAAGTCTGATGATAAATGAGTCCCAAGGTCATCTCCTTCAGCAAGTTAAGGGTTGTGGGAGTAGTATGTATTGTCTAACACTGTTCACTTTCTGACATTTAACTGATATACAGTCATGGGATGTTCAGTGTTTTCTTTGAAAAATTCTCTGTAGCAGTGTCCACAATGTAAAATGTATTTAATAGACTGTTTGCCGAAATACCTCAACATTAAATATTTGGCCTCAGGGACAGTAGCGTCTTCTGAATGTTTCAGCTTTGAGTTCTCCATCGACATGCTGGATTACCTGGATGAGATTCTCAGCTTCCAGCAAGCAGGTAACAACTGGAAGGGGGACAAATACCAGGATAATAACGAGGGCGATAAACAGTTATCACTGTTTAGATATTTCAAACCAAACTAAGGCAATTTTTTATTAATGAAGGCAAATATGAATTTTAAAACCTAATCCTACTGCTTCTATTGTAAGTTTGTATGTTTTTTTCTTTCTTTACTTAGTGTTCGGTTCACTGGACATGTCCCGGGCCAACTCTATGACGACGTCGGGACAGTGCCGCCTCGCTCCCCTCATCCTGTGTATCCTTGACTCATGCCAGCTGTATGACTACCTGGTCAAGTCTCTCTTCCGACTTCATTCTAGTGAGTGACACCAGCATCCACACAAGTTTAAGGATGACTGAGGCTAATTGTGTTTATCACTACGTAACTCATGCGTCTAACAGAGACTTTTTAGGGCTTTTTCTCAAAAGAGTTTCTGGGCCAAAATAGGTGTCCATATGGGTTTGTCGTAAGAGAAGCCTATATGAGCATGGGGTGGTTACCGTGAAGATCCGGGGTAGAATAGGTCTTAAGCAACCCATGCTTGTCGTAAAAGGCTTCTAATGGGATAAGGGTGGTCAGGCTCGCTGACTTGGTTGATGCATGTCATCGTATTCCAATTACTTGGATCGATGCTCATTATATCAATCACTGGATTGTCTGGTCAAGAATCGATTATTTACAGACTGCCGCATATAGTTATAATATTGCTGTGGGCGGCGTTAAACAACAAATAAACAAACAAACAAACAAAGCATGACCTTGCCTGGGTGTGATGGTACCTCAGCAGATATTATTGCTCATGCTATGAACACCCTAGTCTGCCTGACCACCACAATATTGCTGGAGTATTGCTGATATGACATAACATGCACTCACTCTTTGGGTGCAGATTTTACAGATTTTACTGACTCGACATAACATTCACTCCAGTTTTTCAGATATTACTTGTTACAATTAAGACCAATTATGCATACAAACCGATTCAATTTACGTCAGTAAAATAAAATAACCCCATCGAAGATCCGGGGTTAGAATCGTAAGACGTGACTACTGGGATTGGGTGGTTTGGCTCGCTGACTTGGTTAATGCATTTCATTGTGACCTAATAGTATCCTGATGTGAATCACTGGATTGTCTGGTCCCGCTGTTGCATTTGTCAACAGACTGCAAAAGGAAAAATCAGTCGTCAGGTCTTGACCTGTTTTGGGGTTATTGTAGGTCACGGAGACCCAGTTGTCTGAGGTGCTACAATTCCCCGGCTATACATGCAGCCCTTAGGCATGCCAGTAGCTTAGGCATGCCAGTAGCTTCGGTTTGTTTGTTGATTTCCAGATAGACCTAATTATGGTTATTGGTTTGTTAGCCTTACCTCTGTTTGTGGGTTTCACCATGGTGGAAATGGTCTGAGACATGTATTGGGCTTACCTCCCACATTCAGCCAATAATGTTGCTGAAATATGTTATACAACTCACTCACACCCCTCCCGTTGCAGGTCTGACACCCGACACACTCTCAGGTCACCGGGAGAGATTCCTCAAGGGTTACAAGAGGTAGGTTACAAAAGGCCCCTGTGGGGATTGCAGGTTAGAATTGCTACCCATAAACCTCTGCCAATTGTAAGAGGCAACCAAATGGTCTTGGCCCACTTGCACAAAGCGATCTTGGCGCTAAGACTATTGTAGGCCTATGTTAAAGAATTGGAGATACGATCATCTTTGTTATGTCAGTGTTATTTGCCATAGGCCCCTATTGGGATTGCAGGTTAGAATTGCTACCCATAAACCTCTGCCAATTGTAAGAGGCAACCAAATGGTCTTGGCCCACTTGCACAAAGCGATCTTGGCGCTTCCACTATTGTAGACCTATGTTAAAGAATTGGAGATACGATCATCTTTGTTATGTCATTGTTATTTGCCATAGGCCCCTATTGGGATTGCAGGTTAGAATTGGTCCCCAGAAACCTATGCCAATTGTATGAGGCAACCAAATGGTCTTGGCCCACTTGCACAAAGCGATCTTGGCGCTACGACTATTGTAGGCCTATGTTAAAGAATTGGAGATACGATCATCTTTGTTATGTCATTGTTATTTGCCATAGGCCCCTATTGGGATTGCAGGTTAGAATTGGTCCCAAGAAACCTATGCCAATTATAAGAGGCAACCAAATGGTCTGGGCCCACTTGCACAAAGCGATCTTGGCGCTACGACTATTGTAGGCCTATGTTAAAGAATTGGAGATACGATCATCTTTGTTATGTCAGTGTTATTTGCCATAGGCCCCTATTGGGATTGCAGGTTAGAATTGGTCCCAAGAAACCTATGCCAATTATAAGAGGCAACCAAATGGTCTGGGCCCACTTGCACAAAGCGATCTTGGCGCTACGACTATTGTAGGCCTATGTTAAAGAATTGGAGATACGATCATCTTTGTTATGTCAGTGTTATTTGCCATAGGCCCCTGTGGGGATTCCAGGTTAGAATTGCTACCCAGAAACCTCTGCTGATTGTAAGAGGCTCAATGGCTCAACTTGGTTGCCCAGACTGATTGAGATTGACCAGCTGGTTACTAAGTAAGAAATAAATAATTTGTTTGGTCACTTTGGGTTGGTCATTTTAGTCATTAATTATTTGTGCAGAATTAGTTACCTCTGTCGATGTTATATGATAAAGCATTCAGAACTGCTGAAATAGTTCATAATAACTGTCTGTATGGTATGTCCTACTGCAGTTTCTGTTTCATATTAAATAGTATACGAAAAACTACTAGCACTGTTACTGTCATAACAGTTTTTGTGGATATACATTTGTGGTTCAAATCTAATCTTTGATGTACTAATAATGTAGGATTCTCACTGTGAATAATTGGTGTTTCAGGCTAAAACAGTTCTACCACAGCAGTGCCACACTTCAGTATTTCAAGAATCTAGTCCAGGTCCCCGCATTGCCGGAGGTGAGGCATTGGGTGTCATGGGGGAATATGGGTTTGAGATGCTAGGCATGTATGGAGCAACTACCAGGGACTCCTGGATGAATCCCTGGGAAGTGTTCTTCTTGACATATCTAATGTCGGACATTTGTCTTGGTATCCTGACATCTCTGTGTACTGGTGTATTCTGATGTATATCATCCAAAATTGGCTTCCACAGTAGATATCTCTTGGATGAGATCAAGTGATCATCTCCTTGGAAATATTGCTTCAGTGAAATTGCATCACAATGCTTTGCAGACCATTGTGACATCATCAGGTACCATGACATCACAGTCAAATGACATCACTTATCTCTCTGCCACTGAAGCTGCTTAGCTGTACTATTTACACTCAAGGCACTTGATATTACTGTTTACAAACAGAAACATTTGGAATAATAATTTTGGATGATAAATAGAATGTCACCTTCATGTCTTCCAAGCTCAGTAAACTTTGGATATTTGTAACTTTCAACTCGTCTTGATATATTTGATTTCAGAAGACTCTTGCATGACATTGTCTATATATTTCCCACCTGTGTATAAGGAGCACGCCATCCTTAGGAGTTCATTTTTTTGGGTGAAAAACAGATTGTGTACTGACTTGTGCACAGTGCTCAGTCAAAACCTTCCTGGTTGAGCTTCAGGGAGAGTTCTGGCCAAAGCAAACACACGTCAGTGTTGCTGAAAGCTTTCTGATAAAAGATTATTTGACAGGCAATTTCCTGTTTCAGTAGGTTTTCATGAAAGCAGTATTAAATGTTAATGTGAAGGATTCACTCCTACAAATAGCATGGAAATAGAAACGACCTTGACCTTTGACCTTTATGCACATGCTCAATGAGTGATTGAGAAAACCATACCTGATATTATTACTCTATTAATTTGATACGCGATGATCAGAAGAATAAATTCACTCACTGATAATATTTTGTTGACCCTGATGCTTTCTCTCTGAAAATAATTCCTTGGTTGCCTTCTCAGGAACCACCCAACTTCTTGATAGCCTCTGACATCAGTAAGCATGTGAAGCCTGTAGCAGTGGTGCCATCAGAACCAGAGCCGGAACCGGAACCAGAGCTCGACACCCCAGAGGTGGAATCAGTGGGCAACCTCATAGACACAACGGAGGTAACAGCTTTGCAGCTTCATGCAAGAAAAGTTTATGAAAAGTGACCATAAGGCTTAAAAAATAAAAGAATTGGTTCTCAGGCAATGGCTTTTGAAAATATAGTGCGGGTGGGCGGTGTTTTTTGTTTGTTTTGAGTTGTTCAAACTAGGATGGTATGTAACCAAATGAATAGTTGTGTAACCAAATAAACAGTTGTGTACAATCAACCTTGGAAAGGGCCTCCCTACATAAATGTATTCCTTGATGAATAAATACTGGAGTACAGTATTTGACTACCGTTGGACTTGGAATATTTAAGGATTTTTGTTCGTTTGTTTTAAAAATGGAAATAAAAATGAAACATTCGGCAAACTTTATGATGATACGGGCGGTGCCTGAAAACCAAGACATTTTTTTTAAAGCCTTAAAGCTTCTGATTTGAAATGCCTCATTGGGAAAACATTTCATTTTAAATAAGCTAACAAATCTATTGATTATTGCCTAGTGAGACGTGAATATCTGTGTGATGGAATATCATCACATGGTAATCAATGTTTGCCCCGTGTAGACCCGGGGTAGAATGTGTCCCCAGCACCTCATTGCTGGTTGTAAAAGGCGAATATTTGGGGAGCTGGGGGATCCGGGTCATTGATCCCAGCATTCTTTGCTGCTTCAGGACGTGACTTAATGGAATAGGGTGGTCAGGCTCTGTGATCCCAAAGACACGGATCGATGCTCACGATATGAATTACTGGAGTGTCTTGTGCAGCCTTGATTATTTACAGGCCACCATCATGTAGCTGGAATATTGCTGAGTGCCGCGTTCAACAAGAAACATACCATATACAGTCAAACACTGTTGTGTCAAAGTTGATGGGACTATTTTGAGTTATCCAAGGTTCGACACAACCGATAATGATAATTATAAGGAATACATAGGGACGAAGCAACACAACAGTGTTTCACAGTAATTTATATCATTCTGTATTGATAACTATAGAAGAGTTACCATGTTAGGATTTTAGGATGCTTGATTTGATCTGTATGTGATTGTAGTTTTAGTAGTTGTGTCTAGACAGAAGATAAGAAGTAGGTCTTTATTTACCAAGTAGCTGTAGTTGGAATGTGCTGACAAGTCTGCATGTCATACCTGCTACTGACATCTATGCATAAAGGAAGAGCTGTTCTCTTTTTAACAAGACTAACAGAAGTATTAATTTAACAGTTACACTAATGATTGATTGACACATTTCGCCATGTTTAACTCTAATTGTTTGTGATTTTATTAACATGTTCATGAAAACTATCTGTAGAAATCTCAGTTCAAATAACAGTCGCTACTGATCTTCCGAAGCACAATGCCTGTTGTTGCTAGACTCTATAGTATCCATCCTCATTTATCCAGTGTCATTTCTCCATTCTATTGATAGATATTGTGGACCCATTGCCACCACAGCTTCTTGTCAGTGATGCCATCGTCTCTCCTTTTACACAGGGGCGATCGGGTAGCCTAGTGGTTAAAGTGTTTGCTCATCATTCTGAAGACCCAGGTTCGATTTCCCGACATGGGTTCCATGTGTGAAGCCCATTTCTGGTGTCCCCCGTCGTGATATTGCTGGCATTTTGCTAAAAGCGATGTAAAACCACACTCACTCACTCACACCTATTACACAGAATTTCTCTTGCTCTCTTGCTCACAATATGAAGTCTCAGTGTTAAGCACAATAATGCAAAACAAGCCCTGTCCTTCTCTTATCAACCATTTGGGAAACAGTAGTCTGTTAATGAAGCATGGCCCTTTTTCTTCGGTTTGTGGAAACACACATGCAATAACAATTGCTTGTTGAGCCAATCAAATGGGATGAAGTCACTTGCAATTTTATGTTGGCATAGATCTACATTCAAAATTGCAGAGTCATACCAGTGAGCCTTTGATGTATTTTGCCAAATCAGTAGACTGTTATAAATGATGTCTTGATGGATTTCCTTTTTAATGTGTATGAAGACGCGAGGACTAAATATGCAACAAGGCATTCCCAGTTGTATTCGAGACTGATTGAGTTTGGGGGCACAAGTTGCCCAGTCGTCTAAGGTGCTGCAATTCGCTGTGCAGAATTGCATCCCTTGGGCGCGCCAGAAACCTATGATTGTGGCTTTAAATCCCAATTCGCCCCAATTATGTTTCTAGGCTCGTGGGTTTTACCAAAGTGGTAAATGTCTGAGACCTGCATCATTGCGGGGTTTCCTCCCACATTAAACTGACACACTGTGATCTTACTGGAATACTGTTCAAAGCAGTGTTAAAACAAACTCACTCAGTATGATTGAGTTGAGCACAGGTGATATCACAACTAGTTTTACTTCTGAAATTTCATGGGTTGGCTATATTTAGCATCATTTCATTAGAACCAGACTCAAAATGAAGCTGAATGGTGAGTGGGTCCGGCGTATCTATCATATTAGAATTGAGATATAATTCCCTGGAAAATAGAGGATGTATGGCATACCGCCTTACTACCAGCTGAAATCCTGAGCTGAACATTGATCTGTGCATGCCTTGACAGGAATTATTCGGCCTAGTTGTAGAAACCTTCATCACTAACAACAGCACATATACACAGGGGGATAGGACGAAACAGCAAACACATTCGGGACATCAGGAACTAACCACAACTTTTGAAAGGTTTCAGTGGTTTCTGACTAGTGGCCCTGACCAACCCCAGATACAGTGGTAGAAATTAAAGGGCATATGCCTCAAATGTTTTGGTCTAAGGGCCCCTTAATCTTTTTCTCTAGTTTACAATAGGATTATTACCAGGATGCCTTGACCTCCAACCAATATTTTGATCACTGTGATTGAAATTGTGATTATTATTTTTTTATCCTGAATATACAACATCTTTATAAATTTACCTTTCTAAGCAAGGATTTGGGATAATTTGGATTCATGGTTTTGACTTCATAAGATCAGAAAATGTTAAATCCAAAGAGTATTAGTAGGTGTCTCCCTCCCTTGATCCTCACATTCAAACTGTTTTATAGGATTGTTTGTTACAGTTAAACACCTGAAAGTTACATAAGCAGAATAGTTTTCTGAATTTGCTGTTTGACATCTTTCTCACCTGGAAATTGCCCTTATCACCTTGACCTCTGACCTTGACCTCCCTTTCCTGCGTCTGCTCTAACCGTCTGCTTGAGCCTCTGCTGACAGTGTGGCATGTTCTTGTTTTCCTGCCTCAGAATGACAGATTTGACAAAACTTTTGGACAGGAGATGGGCGCATTCAATTTCAACGGACGACCACCTGAACCAGATGAACGGTGAGTTACATGATATGATGTATTACAGTGTGTGACATGTTTTTAGTTACCATATTCAACGTAATAAGCGCCCTGCTCTCATAAGCGCACACGGCGATATTTGCTAATATATTGGCTTGTGAACAATCCCAATTAGCACCCCTTTTGATTGATCAATGTACACAAGACTTATTTATTCGTGTATAATAATACGCACTTGTGTGTTATGCACCCTTTAGTATGGGTAATTAAATTCTGGAAAAATATATCAGTCGTATATAAACATTTCAGGCTGTCAGCATAAACCATGAAATTTACAATCTTTCACCAAAATAGTCTTCTGATAAGAGCCCCCTTTTTCTAATTTTGAGAGCTCCCTGGGCGCTTATTAGGGAAAATACGGTACTGGTAAACGTTTAAATTTTGCATTTTCAGTAGGTGTTAGTCTTAGTATATGAACTAGTAAAAGCTGATTTTACTGGACCATAAGAATTCTTTTCTAGTTGGAGACAGTGTTCCCTCGCTATTGCGCTCTTCAATTATTGCGTGCGGTAAAGCATGGCTCCCAAAAATCTTTTAACAGAGTTATTTGCCTTGCTCTGTGCCTTTCCATTAGTGCATACTGTGTGAAATAGGGACAAGTTTTCTCAGAAACTACTGAAGTTACTTGAATGGAAGTTTGCATGCTTTCAGAGATACTTGTCAAGACTGTGTTCGGAAAATAGTCCTGTAAATCTTTTTTTTTGCAGGGTTATGGCCCTTGATCCATGATATTTTACTTAGTTCATAGTGTGTGCATTGGGGACAAGTTTTCTCCACTGAAGTTAGCTTATCTAAGAGATACTTATCAAGGCTAATGTCAGTCAAGGGACTAATAGTGAGATTTCTTTATTTGAACTAAACACTCAAATATGGATATGTGTCAAAATATGTTTGAAACAAATAGAGATTTTAGAGGTTTTTGGCTAGCATATCTCAAATTGTTTGACATAAACATGTCTTTCGCGAGAGATGATATTAAATGAAGTAATAATATGAGCAAACTGTGAAAATTAAGGCGAAGGATCAGTTTGAAATATCCATTTGATATAATATTGTTGACTTGTTTGATAGGCATTACTTAGAAGTTGATGGATGACAAGGTAGATACAAGTTTATGGATAACAACTTCTTTAATTCTGTAAAAAGCGATGTTTCGGTAAAGATCCTTATACCAATTTCCCTGCTTGAGAACGGTATAAGGATCTATACCGAAACGTCACATTTTACAGTATTAAAGAAGTTGTTATTCATAAAATTGTGTCTACCTTATATTATTGTTGAATATTTGTCCTGCAGTGACCTGCTGATAGAACGACTGCACAGAGAGATTGAGTTCCTGAAACAAGAGCTGCATCGACTCAAGACAGAGGTATAGTTCCCACAGCCTCTGGCTGTCACTTGATTGATGGAAATATCAATGTGTGATCAATAATGTCTCATGTTCAAGGGGCAGATCAGGATTTTCTACAATCAAGAATAAACGTGTGTCTTGCTTATCTGTGAATTTCTATCCGTAACTGTCTCAGCAAGACAGACATTATCTCAATCTGTTCTATATAAACAGTAAACCACGCTTCGTTCTTCATTGTTCTTTGCGATTTATCACGTAGCAATCTAATATAACATCATATATCGCGATATCGATGCATTGATATATTCATCATGTTGATAAATCGATACAAATTTCCGATACACATGTTTCCATAAGAATACCATTGTTAAGATGGACAAGAGAATGCAGATATTAAAGTTTAAACATCTAATGGATCAGCCCGGTGCACATTTAGCATTAAATTGATTAATTGCAGGTGTTCATATTTAATTTTTATCAATATACATTGGAATAATTAATTGTATTATTAATACAATATATTGATGTATCAAGATACTTTTGAGACAAAATATCAGTACTAATACTCTGTAAGGCTAGTATTCCTGTTTTTGACAAACAATAACATCCCAAACACCACCATAAGTAAGCACACCTACTTTCTCTTGAATTATAGAATACATAGTGTCAAGTGGTTGAACTTTTGGTCATGAACTTTGAAAAGTATGTGCCTATGCAGTAGTCATTATAAATCTTCCAGGAATGTTGTGATATAATTCTGTCTCTTCCAGGATGGAAGAATCATCCAGTCTTTAAAGGACGAAATCAGCAAGATGGAGAAGCTGTTATCAGAACTCAGGTTATCGGCTGACAAAGCATTAAAGGTAGAAGATCTTACAATCTGCAAGAAGCAAACTGATGTAGGGTAATGATGGTTCAGTCATCTGAGGCATTGCAACTTGATGTGCAGAGTTGCATCCCTTTGGCTGACCAGGATCTGATTACTGAGGGTTTGAATCTCTGATGATCCCTGATCATGGTCCATGGTTTGTCAGTGCCACACCAGTGCTTGTCTATTTTACTAAAGTACTAAATGTCTACTACTTGCACCATTCTGGGGTTTTGTCCTTGACAAGCTGTGATAAAACTGAAATACAGTTCAAGTTCAAGATGAAGGCCCCTTGGACAGATGAGGTACCCAGCACCCAGTGCTTATTTTAAGATGGCTGAATTTGGAACCCTCCATGTAATATTCTGAGGCAGGATATTTCAGGACATCTCGTATGTCCAGCAAATGATTTACTTTTTGGATACATTTTATTTTGAACAAATTATATTTGTGTTTTCATGTCCAGGTTATAGTGGTGTCATGTGTTTTCCTGTCCAGGTTATAGTGGTGTCATGTGTTTTCCTGACCAGGTTATAGTGGTGTCATGTGTTTTCCTGACCAGGTTATAGTGGTGTCATGTGTTTTCCTGTCCAGGTTATAGTGGTGTCATGTGTTTTCCTGTCCAGGTTATAGTGGTGTCATGTGTTTTCCTGACCAGGTTATAGTGGTGTCATGTGTTTTCCTGTCCAGGTTATAGTGGTGTCATGTGTTTTCCTGACCAGGTTATAGTGGTGTCATGTGTTTTCCTGTCCAGGTTATAGTGGTGTCATGTGTTTTCCTGTCCAGGTTATAGTGGTGGCATGTGTTTTCCTGTCCAGGTTATAGTGGTGTCATGTGTTTTCCTGTCCAGGTTATAGTGGTGTCATGTGTTTTCCTGTCCAGGTTATAGTGGTGTCATGTGTTTTCCTGTCCAGGTTATAGTGGTGTCATGTGTTTTCCTGACCAGGTTATAGTGGTGTCATGTGTTTTCCTGTCCAGGTTATAGTGGTGTCATGTGTTTTCCTGTCCAGGTTATAGTGGTGTCATGTGTTTTCCTGTCCAGGTTATAGTGGTGTCATGTGTTTTCCTGTCCAGGTTATAGTGGTGTCATGTTTTTTCCAGGACAGTGAGATGATGAAGAAGGAAAGGGATGAAGCCCAGGCCAGTCTAGATGCCCTGGCGAAACTGCCTGAAGCCGAGAGTGAGTATGCTTCCTTAGCAGTATCTGAAATTATTTTAAAACCCAACAAGACAGTCGGACAGTTGATCCATAGATGTCGCCTGCCCATCTTCAAAGTTCCTGCCTGCATTCAGACGTTGTGAGTATTGAAAAATCATGAAAAATAAGAGACAAATCACATCTTGATTCAGCTGAAGTAATGCAAACAATTACTTGAAAATGCACGAGGACTTATGATAAACTGAATGCAAAAGTAGTCTTAAAATGTTCTGCCAGACTGTCGGACAGGTGGAGGTACATTTCATGCAGCCTGACAGAAAGGTTACCAGCCACGGGCAGACAGGCAGTTGTTTCGGACACTGTACCTTAGTGCACTTGGTCATCCTTGTCATCCTTGTTATCTGCTGGGTTGAAATCCCAGAATCACCCTGATTGTGTTTCTCGGTTTGTCAGCACCACACCCATGCTTTTGGGTTTCAATTGAGACTTTCGACCCGTGAAGATCCGGGGTAGAATGGGTCTTCAGCAAACCATGCTTGCTGTAAAAGGCGACCATGCTTATCTGCAAGAGGCGACTAACGGGATCGGGGGGTCAGGCTCGCTCACTTGGTTGATGCATGTCATTAATCCCAATTCTGTAGATCGATGCTCATGATATCAATCACTGGATTGTCTGGTCCAAACTCGATTATTTACAGACCGCAGTCATATAGCTGGAATATTGCTGAGTGTGGCATTAAACAACAAACCAACCAACAGACCGCCGTCATATAGCTGAAATATTACTGAGTGTGGTGTTAAACAACAAACCAAACCAAACCAATTGAGACTTTCCTCCCACGTCATGCTCTGTCGCTTGGTTGCATGTTATCATACCACACTGGTGGAGGAGGAAGTATTTGCTGACTGCGGTGACAAGCAAAACACATGACTACAAAATCGTAAACAGCATGAGTTCCTAAACTAAGTAGCAGGATGGATGATGGGTCCATGTTTTTTGTGGGAATGTAGTGGTTGCTTGGGAGGATCGACAAGGCTAGTTTTATGGATGTTGATCTGTGATTGATGCTTGACGATGCAGAACAAGCAAAGGCCAACCAAGAGAAGTTCCAGAAGATGAAGGACATCTATGGGAAACTGAGGGAGGAGCATGTGCAGCTTCTTAGGAATGTGAGTATAGGGATGTGAGTCGGAAGATGTGAATGTAGGGGAATGTGGGTATCAGGAATGTGAGTATAGGGATGTGAGTATAGGGATGTGAGTGTAGGGGAATGTGGTACAGGCAATGTGAGTACAGGGATGTGAGTGTAGGGGAATGTGGGTATCAGGAATGTGAGTATAGGGATGTGAGTGTAGGGCAATGTGAGTATAGGGATGTGAGTGTAGGGGAATGTGGGTATAGGGATGTGAGTGTAGGGCAATGTGGGTATCAGGAATGTGAGTATAGGGATGTGAGTTGGTAGTTGTAGTGTAGGGGAATGTGAGTGGGAAGATGTAAGTGTAGGGGAATGTGAGTGTGGGTAATGTGAGTGTGGGAGAATGTGAGTATAGGGATGTAAGTGTTGGAGAATGTGAGTGAGGAGATGGAAGTGAAGGGGAATTTGTGTATCAGGCATGTGAGTGTGGGTGATGTGAGTGGGGAGATGTAAGTGTAGGGGAATGTGGGTATAGGGATGTGAGTGTAGGGATTTGAGTGTAGGGCAATGTGGGTATCAGGAATGTGAGTATAGGGATGTGAGTTGGTAGTTGTAGTGTAGGGGAATGTGAGTGGGAAGATGTAAGTGTAGGGGAATGTGAGTATAGGAATGTGAGTGTGGGTAATGTGAGTGTGGGAGAATGTGAGTATAGGGATGTGAGTGTTGGAGAATGTGAGTGAGGAGATGGAAGTGTAGGGGAATGTGAGTGGGGAGATGGAAGTGAAGGGGAATTTGTGTATCAGGCATGTGAGTGTGGGTGATGTGAGTGGGGAGATGTAAGTGTAGGGGAATGTGGGTATAGGAATGTGAGTGTGGGTAATGTGAGTGTTGGAGAATGTGAGTATAGGGATGTGAGTGTGGGAGAATGTGAGTGGGGAGATGGAAGTGTAGGGGAATGTGAGTGGGGAGATGGAAGTGTAGGGGGATGTGAGTGGGGAGATAGATCAGTTTAGGGGATGTGGGTGTAGGTCATGTGAGTATGTAGGGGTTGTTTTATGGTTCTGAGTCTTCACTTGAAACACCATTTTGAAAGTCTGTCATTTGTCATTGAGGTGGGTATAAACTTCTGAATAAGTAAATTGTCCTTGCAGTGATTCAACATGTGATAGTATCCTTCATAAGTCATATTTAGCTTGCAGTTATTGATAGCCTAGTCTGGTGTACCACCATCAATGTACAACTGGTAGCCTATAGGACGATCTAACATTTAATCCTTCCAGCATGCTGATGTTACCAAACAACTTGCTACGGAGAAGAAAGCAGCTGACGAGAAGGAGCAAGTCATTAAGGTGAGGGATGATCTCCGCACTGTCTCCTTACTTGTTTATATAAATGAGTGATGGTAATCGAAGCCTAAGCTCATGAAACTAGAGGACCTTGTTGAAGAAGTTGACATCAGGCCAGATTGTAACTTGGGGCTATCGGGACAGAAACGGTTTCCATAACCTCATGCAGGGGCACAGGTGGCCCAGTCAAATAAGGCGCTGCAATTCGCTGTGCAGAGTTGCCTCCCTCAGGTGTGCCAGAACCCTGTGATTGTGGGTTTGGATTCCAGATTTGGCGTATGTTTCTTGGTTTGTCAACACTATTCCTATGCTCGTGGGTTTCACCAGAGTGTTAAACAAGACATGCATCATTTTGGACTTTATTCCCACAAGCTGTGATATGACCAAAATACTTTTAATGGGGCACTGGACCCAACTCACTCACTCTGTTGGGATTGGTAATCTTTATGTAATAAGGAAACAAGTAGATGGTTTTGATAAGTTATGGTCAATGATTGTTATGGATAATAATCCTTGATCTGTTAAGGGGCAGTGGGTAGCCACATGGTGAAAGTGCTGGCTTGTAACACCAAAGGTGTGGGTTCTATTCCTCAAATGTGGGAAGCCCATTCTCCAGGGCACTGCAATATGGCTGAAAGATTTAAGACAACAACCTCACTCATTCACTCCAGATAATTTATTACAGAGCTCTATTTTGTTTCATTATGTACACATCAAAGGTTGCATTGTTTATTTTGCACTGGCTGCACCTGTGTCAAGCTGTTACTTCTTTCAAACTGTTCTTCTTGATTGTGCATGGCTTAGTGTTCTGGAGAGAATTCAGGTCACAATGTCCAATTGTCTCACAACCTTCTTGGTCACCTAACAGTTTGGACACAGATAACTATGTTTGATCACCCTGAAAATAATTGCTGTGTTTTGTTAAGATTCTCACATGATTGTGTGAGAGATGGCACTGATTGAGTATGTGACTATTTTCTCTGTCTCTCATGTTGTCTAGTTGGGTGTTGTCACTTACACTTAGTCATAGTGGATGTTTTCTTTGATAGATCAGGCCATTTAGTCACTGTAAAGTAGGATGGTAGAAGTAAAACATGATACACACTTCTCAAAAAAGGACCACCCTATTCTTTCGTATTACTACAGTTAATGTGTCATGGCAGCTTAACTGTAGTGATATGAAAGAATCGAGAGGGCCTTAACTTTTTTGAGTAGTATATATACTGGATTCACTAAGTGCAAAGTTTCATCAGTTATTTATAACTTGACAAATTTAGAAATAGTTTGGGTGTTTTTCAGTCTGTACCAGTACTTTACTGATGACTGTTAGATTAGTTTGTTTTAAAAAATTAACAATTCCTATGCCAACATCTGTCAGTCTACATTCTTATTATCTTATTCATTTCACTATTATGTATTTGAAAATCATTTCAATTTACAATTTACAAATTGTCGTTGATACGTTTGATCGTTTGGGACAGATTGAATTAAAACAGAGCATAAATTTCATCAGAGGTTTTGATGCACTGATGTACTGAAAATAATTAATGCTTATCATATTTTTGGATGACCCTCCCCATGTCTTTGGACATTTTTTTGCATGATCCCCCCTGGAAAGACAAATTGCAAAAGCACATTATATTTTATTTTATGATGTCCATTTTTTCATGGCCCTTTCCAAGTATGTGTATATTTTTTTCATGACCGTGCCCAAGGGACAGTCCTGTTTTGGGGTGACACGCCCCTGATTCTCTCTGACCCACCCACCCCAAAATAAATGACTGGTCCCTAAACAAGTAGACTTACCGTGATGGCAAGCCAACCTGAAACCCTGCTGTGATCAGTGGGATGAGTTATCTCATAGGACAGAATGAGGACTGACAGCTGTCTAGGTCAGCTCTAACCTTCTCTGCATGACCTGCCTATTGTGATGTGCATGCCCTGTGTTGATGTTATGTCAGGAGGCAAAGATGGACCTCCAGCGCCTTGAGGACGAGAAGCAGGTCATCCACAATAACCTGCAGAAAAGTGCCGATGAGGTCACAGGTCAGCTGGCTGAGGTCACTGGTAAATGTTCTGTTCTGGAGCAGCAGAAAGAGGTGAGGGTCAAGGTCACTGGGTCCTGGCTTGAACATGTGCATGCTGCTCTTGTCTTGTGCTTTGTGTGGGTTTTTTTTTTACTGTTTCGCAGTCCAGTATTGAAGGTGACAGTAATGCAGGTTATTAAAGGTAAGTTTTTGGATCAGTCGGCTTCAAATTTGGAAAATACTGCAGAGACATGGACGTTCTTTGTTGATTTCGACCAAATTCTTTAAATGAATATGCCCACAATGGTCTATTTTTCAAAATACTTTTCACTCTCTTTGATGGGGTCAATAACGTACCATCTATACAGCAAGCTGTGCCAAAATCAATTGAGTCTATAAGCCCTAACATGGCTCTTAACATCATTTTCAGTAGATTTTATTATTATTATTATATATTACTTTCTCAGCTTACTATAACGAACAGTTTTACGAGATGAGGGCTTTAGACTATTGTCAGCAGTCGCAGACTGCGTACCGATAGTTTGTTATGCTATTGAATAGGCTCTGCCCCGAAGCAACCAAAATATATGATAAATTTCCAATTTCATGATCTACTATTAAGGCCCACTTCTGGTTAGAACAATAGCTCCCTTAAAAGATGAATGACTCTATCACCAGAAGGTAAGATTTCATACTGTCATATAAGCATGTCTGCTTGCAAGTCGTCATAGGGGAGACAACTCTCGTCAACAAGCATGTGTTAAGGGGAGATAACTCTACCAAGCATTGTGGTATGTATGGTCAGCATGTACTAACAGCATGTCCTGTGTGGCCATATAAGGTCTCCACAGCTCGTCTGAATATAACGATGGTGTCGGTTAATGTATTGGCAGGCTGCCGGCTTGGATGAGTTCTATGAAGGATGGCAGAAGAGCAAGGTAATGCTAGCTTGCTGTTGAATCAGTGGTATGGTACTGTACATATATCTATTTGTAATCAATCCAGCTTTTGTATCCTGAATATTCCCATTGTACCCACCCCTGCTTCTATATCCACGAGAATATGTATGCTTGTCAAGATCATACTGTTGACGTGTACAGATCTTACCAATATGTTATTTGATATTTTGTACATGTACATTGTTGGTAGTAAGATAGGGAACATGTAGCAAAGGAAGACTACCTTTACATTGAAAGCTTGTTAGTCTGAACCCTGTGGATTCCTGGTTAGAATAGGTCTCAAGCATTGGGATCAAGTGGTCAGGCTCGCTGACTTGGTTGATGCATGTCATCGTATCCCAGTTGTGTGGATCGATTCTCATGATGTCAATCACTGGACAGTCTGGTCCGGACTCGATTCTTTTCAGACCGGCGTCATATAGCTGGAATATTGCTGAGTGCAGCGTTATACAACAAAAAAAAGTAAAACCCAACCCTTTAGAAACCTCCTAATCCAGATGATCTGGGAACGTCTTATATATATAAGCAACTTTCCTTACCACCCTTGGTTTGATAATCTGGATATTTGGTAAACCAGATGATTTCACGAGGAATGGCACTGTCGTCATTAATTAGGTTTCACTGAAGATGATACTTACCAACGACGAATGAAATGTTAGTTGTTTACTTAGGATTTCTTGCTACAAACTCAGAATGAATAAATGATTTTGATGGACTTGAACATTGAGCATCTTGAAAGGATGCTTTTGTAATTATGAACATATTGTTTAATGTGATACAATCACCACCCCTTCACTTCCTCTACCAGCCTCACTCAGGAAGTAACCAAACAGCAAGGTTAAATCTTGATTATTATCTCCCAGCAATCCATGTGCACCTCACAAAGTATGTATGAAAATAAAATACAAAGTAATAATAAAAATAATTGAAGTTGTTTGTATTAGAGCGCAAAGCACACAGTTGAGATCATTATGGCATAATTAAATAAGTATCTTGGGCCTTTGGGCTTAGAATAGGTCTTCATCAACCCACGCTTGTCGTAAGAGGCGACTATGCTTGTTGGAAGTACACGACTAATGGGATCGGGTGGTCAGATCAATTGCTTGGATGGATGCTCGTGATATCAATCACTGAGTTGTCTGGTCTGGACTTGATTATTTACAGGCCGCCATATGGCTGGAATATTGCTGAGTGTGTGGTTGTAAACAACAAACAAACAAATAATGCATTTGGGATAGTCTCCATTGTATCAAAGCCTAGAGTGTCCCTACACTTCAGAATGCATTTATGGTGGTATTGTCATGTGATAGTGGTTCCATTAACTGAAACAGTTACCCAAAGGTCACATGAAGTATAAACGTCATGGAACTTTTTTTATCTTAATTTTTTTCCATTTTAGGACCTTGACTGTAAAGTAAAAAATTTAGAGGACAGCAAATCTACTCTAGAATCTCAGTTAGAGGAAAGTCAAACATCAGTTGCCTCCCTTGAATCCCGCCTGTCTGAAGTGCAGCAAGGGGGCGACCAGCGAGAGCAGGAGCTGTGCGGTCAGCTGTCCTCGCTGCAGGCATCTTTGTCCACCACACAGAAGGAGAGGGAGGAGAGTGAGAAGAGACTGAGTGAGCAGGTGTCACAACTGCAGGGACAGTTGGACCAAACTCTGGCTGAGAAGGCCTCGAAAGAGGAATCTCTGACCGAGAAGCTGGATGAGCTTCAGAAACAACTGGATCAGCTGAAGACAGACAAGCAGGACAGTGAAAGTCGCCTTGGTGGTCAAATTGATGACCTGCACAAGAAACTGTTAGGTAAGGTGTCAGGTGTATATTTGTGGTACTTGGTGATGGGGAAGGTTTGACTTGACTTGGTTGTCAAGTTGATGACCTGCACAAGAAACTGTTAGGTTGGGTGGCAGGTGTATATTCGTGGTACTGGTTGATAAAGAAGGTTTGACCTGACTTGGTGGTCAAATTGATGCTGTTATATGTAGTATGTATATTTGGAGTACCTAGCCCTGTGCAAACAGTCTCCATCCTGCTTGATGGTCGAGCTTACTAAAACAAGGATCTTGAGGTTACAATGTGTAACCTGGCAAAATGGGTGTGATGCACCAAAGCAACATGGATTGTTGCTCATGCTGTCAACCACTGGTTTGCCTTGTCAGGAAACAGTTATTTACATGGCACTGTGATACAGCTGAAACGTGGATGATTGTGGCATAACATAACATGAACTCCCATCACATCAAATGGAAACAAGGTGACAGGATGATTTTAACATAAACCGAAGACCCTGTTCCATAAAAATCAGAAATGATTTTAACACTATATTCCTGTCAAATTCAATGTCAAGTTAAGGGACCTATGATGAAGTAGATGTGCTGAAATTAAGGGGGGTTCTGATGTCGTTGAGGTTTGCTCCAATGGTTTTTGAAACCCCTAAATGTTTAACTTGGTAGCATTAGGGTTTGACAAGAGCCCCTTGACATTCATGCTTAATTTGAACACTGGCTATGATTACTTTGTGAAACAGCCCTGGGCCTTGTTCCATAAGACATATTTTTAGAGCTACGACTGTTGTAAGGCTGATCAAGTATGGGAATTAAGTTAACCTTAGCACTAAGCTAAGACTATTGTAAGCCTGTTCAAGTTAAGATGACCTTAGCGCTAAGTTCACTTTTTGCAACAGGCTTGGACTTCATCATTAAGGTGAGACATCAATGGAATGTTGTATTTTGGATATAGGTGTTCCAATCTTAAGAGTAACATCAACTGTCACACATACTTTGTGACTCAGTTCCTTCGGTACACTGATAATGTTTGTATGTTCTGACAGAAGTGTTCCTGTTCAGTGAGGAGGGCTAAGATGTGTTTGTATTGCAGAGAGAGGCGTGTCCGAAGGAAAGGCTATAATACAGGATGCTCTGGAGCAGAATGAAAACCCGACACACACAACCGTCACATGTACAGCAGGTAGGCTCATACACCCAAGTAGCGGGTTATATAGGGCAGTACAAGCTTGGGAAAATGGACCGAAATGGGATTCTGTTGGTAGTAATGTGTGATTAGCTGATTGTGTGTCACCATTCCCTGATAGTGGGGCTCATGATGTCAACCACTGGTTATCCTGGATAAGGGACACACAAGTAGTCATTTAATAAGGGGAAGAATTATTTTGGTTTCAATTTTGACTTTATGGATGACTATGAATTGTGGATTGATTATACAGTGACAAGAATGTGATACAGAATCATTGTATTCTCTGAAATTAAGAACTTACAGTTTCTGCTTAAAAATGTAAAAACAGTTTGATTTGATATGTAATGAAAGGTGCGCATGGCATCAATTTCTTGGTTTAGTGCTCCAGTTTGACATATGACACTCCTTTTTTTAGAATACTTACTGATGAGAGCAGAGCCTGTGTTGGAGAGTCTGACGAAGCTACGACAGAGTCATGGTGCATACACTGGGGAAAAGAAAGGTGAGGTGTCCATCAGTCATCACAGCCTTGGAAGTAACACCTGAAATTATACCTTGTAGGACGCCTTGTACAGCACCTTGTAAGATAGGACTACAGTTAGTATCCTCAAATATAAACTCACAAAATATATATACTACTAAAAAGAAGTTAAGATCACCCAATTCTTTCATATACTTAATCATGGCCCATGTCGTCTATGTCACAGCAACTTGGTGTGCAGAGTTGCGCCCCTTGGGCTCGCCACAATCCTATTACCAGTTTACCCTGATTGTTTCCAGATTTGTCAGCACCATACCTGTGGGTTTCACCAAAGTGGTAAACATCTTAGACCTGCATCACTTTAGACTTTCTTCCCACATCAAGCTGACACGCCATGATATGACTTGAATACTGTTCAAAGTGGCATTAAACCAAACTCGCACTATGAGGCGTAAAGAAATAAAAGAAATTGGTTCTCAGGCAATGGCTTTTGAAAATATCTTGCGGGTGGGTGTTTTTTGTTGTTTTGGGGTTGTACAAACTAGTAAGAATCCAAATCTGTATATCGCTGTGTATAAGGCAAGTTTTTCGTACCTAGGGGGCTTTCAATGGGGATCATCTTATACTCAGGGTTGAAGAGTTTCGATGGGTTTTTTTGTGATGATGCAGCAGTGCCTGAGAACTAAGACGATTTTGTTTTTAGCCTTATTTGTCCAATATGTACAAATGGCTGATTTTGAGATTGTGCTGTAGTTCTTCTTAGTGTGAAACTTTACCTGTATGTGTTTCAGATTTAGATATATTGATTGGGACAATCAGCATGTTTTCACATCGAATGAGTGACTGTATCGTGCATGGGTTCGCTACGTCCCACTCCGCACAGATAGAGCCAGGGGAGGAACTGGCCAATGCTTGTCGAGACACGGGGAGTTCCGGGGTGTCACTGCTGGATGCTGTTGGCAAAGGTAGGCTGTGGGTACCTGCTGACTGGTACCTTGTCTCAGATGTACTGTGCAGAGTGGACACCTGCAGCCAACACTGAATATTGCTGTCTTAGCCGGACGTTTTCTTTCCTTTTTTCCATTTTTTTATTGGACACACCTTCCCAAAAATGTTGATAATGAGATTGGAGGAGATATGTGTACCATGTGCTACATTACAATACTTATCATTAATATATCTGTTAAGAATCATGCCAATGCTTGTTAGTACAACTGTTTTCAAATATATGGAAAAGTGTGTTGTTGAGCAATGCCTGCAGATGTTGACAGCAAAGGTGTTGTATATATTTATTCAATTTATAGTTCTAGTTTATTGTGGTATGCCTTTTAACTTGTTGGACAGTGCTGATAACAGGTCATTTGATATCGCTGGATTATTATTGTTATTATTTACATGCCATTTGAATGTTGCTGAATATTGCTGAAAGTGAAATAAGAATCGCTTACAATAACTTGTTCCATAAAGTTGTGATGCCCTTTTCTTGTAGGTGGCAACACAACATCTGAGGTGGATGACTGCATCCAGAAAGTGCAATACGTGATGAAGCTGGCAGAGGACCTGGTCCCCAAGATGGAGGACGTGAAAGCTGAGGAGATCGGGGATCTTGTCGACAAGGAGATGTCCTCAACAACCAAAGCCATTGAAGAGGCAGCCAAGAAGATAGAGGTTAGTCGCACTTACAGAGGACACAAACTGGGTAGAACCTGGGAAGAACCTTCAAGGAGGAGTTTTATCTCCTTGGGGCTGTAGAGTAGCCCAGTTGTTAAAGTGCTTGCTCACCATGTCTTTGTTCAGTGCCCTTGATAGGTACAGGTTACCCTGTCTGGCGCTCGGCATTAAGGGGCTAAAACAAGGACTGGTCGGCTCGGAGTCAATATACTGTGTCTGAGTGGGGTATTCATGTTAAACTGCGGCATGGTATCTCAGTGAGCTAGCACTATAAATCGGCATCAGTCCGGACTAGTACAAGCAGCCACACAAACACACAATTTTGGACGCGACGTTAAACCCAATTTCAACTCACCTCATAGGTACAGTGTATGAAACTGGTCTCATTGCTTGATTACCCGGATTCAGGGGTTTAAATTTGCTCCTCAGCAACTTTTGCTTGGATGAAAATGGATCAAGTGGTTGGACTCATTGAATTGGTTGATTGTATGGCATTGTACCCCCAACGATGTGGGATGTTGCTCATAATATGAATCACTGGATTGTCTGGTCCAGACTGTTGTTCATAGGGCTGAAATATTGCTGAGTACAGTATTAAACAACAGACACAACATGAAGATGTGGATCACTTCTCCCAGTATCAATCACTGGATTGTCTGGTCCAGCAAAACACCATCATGTCGTTGAAGTAGAGTTTGGAGATGGGTGCTAGATGTCAGGGTGAACCAGCACTGGTTTTGTTTCACAGGAGATGCTGCAGAAGACGAGGGAGGACAATACGGGTATAGAGCTGGAGGTGAATGAGAGAATCCTGGACGCCTGCACAGCTCTCATGAAGGTCAGTAAGGGGAGACCACTCTGACTATTTAGTGCCATGAAACTGTTTCTTTGATGATTCATTGACTGGTTTTATGTCCATGGAACATATATATGTAGTGGCCTGCTTTTCATTCCAGTTCCATCACCACATGATGGCTGTTTGATAGCCAAATGTAGATTAAAGGTCATATGATTATTGTCACAATAAATCCAGTTTCAGGTTGATATTTCTATAACATGGATGGGCATAAAGTCTTTTCTCTCTCATGTGTTAGTATTCCAGTTTAACTCTGGTTTATGTTTATGAAACAGGTAGCCTAAACATTGATGTGTTTTGTTGTTTTCTGACTCACTTTAACTTTTCTCGTGTTTACAGGCCATCAAGGTGCTAATAGAGAAATCCAGGGATGTGCAGAAGCAGATTGTACTCCAGGGCAGGGTGCGTAATCAGCCGTGCAGGGTGAAGTTGTTATCGTTGCATAGTCATTGTGGTGTGAGGAGAAAAATGGGGAATTCAGTGTTTGAAAAGTTGTGTGAAAGACAGTTGAACACCTTTGAAGAATGATTCTGATGTGACCAGCATGGGCTGATGTCCTCAGTAACGTTAATGTCAAGGATGAATATGGCACACCTTTGTGATGGCTGAAAAATATCGTTATTACCGGCGACAGGTGGGCAAACAGTTCAAGGCATACCTGAGGGGCCAGAATACGCTGGTTGTTAGTTCAAACTCCAGTTCCACCTAATTATGAGCTGATCTGAAGCACAACTTTGCTTTTGTTGGCTGTCCTGTATCACTTTGTGTGTTCCTTTGATATGAACTGGGCAAGGTGTGGCCCAGACGTCTGAGGCGTCCTATTCATTGTCCAGAGTTGCGTCCCTTGGGCACGCCAGAAACCTATGTATTCGGGTTCGAATCCCGGTTCGCCCCGATTATGTTTCTAGGTTTGTTAGCCCTATACCCGTGCTCGTGGGTTTCACCGAAGTGGTAAATGTCTAAGACCTGCATCACTTCGGGCTTTCCTCCCACCTTTAGCTGACACGCTTTGATATAACTGGAATGCTGTTAAGGGCTGTGTTAAACACAACTCACTCACTCAATCGATATGAAGCTGACACACTATGATGTCAGTGAAATGTTGTCACTCTGCGTTCACTGGTCTTGAGTTCAAATCTGAATCAACCCAGTTATGCTCCTTACTTTGTCTGAAGCTTGTGGGTTTTACCAAAATGGTCATCGTCTGTATCCTGTGACACTTTGTGCCATCCATGTGTCATTCTGATTTTTCAAGACCGCCTCGGTGGCCTAATGGTAGAGCGTCCGCCCGGAGAGCGGAAGGTCCGGGGTTCGATCCCCGGCCCCGGTATACTGTGTCTGAGGGGGTATTCATGTTAAACTGCGGCATGGTATCTCAGTGAACTAGCACTATAAATCGGCATCAGTCCGGACTAGTACAAGCAGCCACACAAACACACACACGTACATGCACGTCGCGATATATGTGCAATAATCTTGGACGCGACGTTAAACCCCATTTCACCTCACCACCTCACCTCTGATTGTTCCAGGGTACATCCACAGCCAAAGATTTTTACAAGAAGCATCACCGCTGGACAGAGGGGTTAATATCTGCGGCCAAGGCTGTGGGCTTTGGTGCCTCCACTCTCATGTAAGTAATGGTGTATTTTGAAACAAGCCATACAGAAACAGGTGCTTGTCCTGAGTCTTTGATCTCTTGAAGGAATGTGGAGGTTTGTTGAAGGATAACCGTGCAAGTAAGCTCGGAAGTTTGAAGGAATATGGAAGGTTCTTGAAGGAATATGGATATTTGTTAAAGGAATTAGGAGGTCTTTTGAAGGAATAACGAGGGTTCTGGAAGGAATATGGAGGGTTGTAGAAGTAAGGAAGCTGTTGAGGAATATGGAGGTTTATTGAAGGAATATGGAGGGTTCTTGAAGGAATGTGGAGGGTTCTTGAAGGAATGTGGGGGTTTGTTGAAGGAATATGGAGGGTTCTTGAATGCATTTGGAGGATTCTTGAAGATATATGGAGGTTTGTTGTAGGGATATAAAGATTTTTTTAAGGTGAGTCATAATAATATGGTCTGATCAATGTGGAGGGTTCTTGAAGGAATGTGGGGGTTTGTTGAAGGAATATGGATGGTTCTTGAATGCATTTGGAGGATTCTTGAAGATATATGGAGGTTTGTTGAAGGAATATAAAGGTTTTTTGAAGGTGAGTCATACTAATATGGTCCGATCATTGCTTGTTGCAATAATAACTTGTTGCTTTCCTTTAAAAACATGGCTTGGTGCAGAGTTGTGTCCCTTTGCCCTGCCAGGTTGAACTGGACCTGGGTTTGAATCTAAGACTGATTATGATCCTTGGTTTGTTAGTACCATACCTGTCCTTGTGGCTTTCAGCACATACAAATCCTGGGCCTGTTTTTACTGTGTCTGCTGTGTAATTTCATTGTTCACTGAGTAGATGATGTTTGCAGGGAGGCAGCAGACAAGTTGGTGAAGGGCGAGGGCAAGTTCGAGGAACTGATGGTCTGTGCCCAGGAGATCGCAGCCAGCACCGCACAGCTTACCGTGGCCTCAAAGGTCAAGGCTGATCGAGGGAGTGAAGGGTTGTCCGAGTTGTCTCGGGCATCAAAGAAAGTCAACGAGGCCACAGGAAATGTTGTAGCATCTGCCAAAACTGCTTCACAGATAGTTGAGGATAAGAGTGAGTCAGATTTCTGCCATTTTTCCTGTGTTCCGGTATGTTGGGTAAAAACAAATATGACAAGGTTATGTTATTGTTTGTATTGTTTGTGGACCCGTGAAGATCCGGGGTAGAATGGATCTTCAGCAAACCATGCTTGCCATAAAAGGTGATTATGCTTGTCGTAAGAGGCGACTAATGGGGTCAGGTGGTCAGGTTCCCAGTTGCTTGGATCGATGCTCATGATGTCAATAACTGGATTGTCTGGTCCAGACTCCATTATTTCCATGCTGCCATCATAAAGCTGGAATATTGCCGAGTGTGGTGTTAAATAACAAACGTACATACATATTATGCTTTTGGACACTAACCCATGCTAACCAGCTGTCTTTTTATATGATGTATCTGCATCTTACAATTATCATTGAAACGATCAGTCTCAAGCACTTGCTGGCAACTGGGGTGGCTCACTCATCTAAGGCACTGCAATTTGATACCCGTGAAGATTCCGGGGTAAAATAGGTCTTCAGCAACCCATACTTGCCGTAAAAAGCAACTATGCTTGTCGTAAAAGGCAACTAACGGGATCGGGTGGTCAGGCTCGCTGACTTGATTGATACATGTCATTGATCCAAATTGCGTGGATCGATGCTCATGATGTCAATCACTGGATTGTCTGGTCCAGACTCGATTATTTTACAGACCGCCGTCATATAGTTGGAATATTGCTGAGTGCGGCGTTAAACAACAAACAAACAAACACTGCAATTTGCTGGGCAGAGTTGCATCCCTTATGCGTGCCAGGAAACTTTGATTGTGGGTTTGAATCCTGGTTTGCCCTGATTATGTTTCTCGGTTTGTAAAGCACCATACTCATGCTTGTGAATTTCACCGAAGTGTTAAACGTCTTAGACCTAAGACAGCATTTCGGGTTCTCTTCCCACATTAAGCAGGAATACAGTGCTGTAACTGAAACACTGCCTCTAGTCCATTAGTCGAGACCGGTGAAGATCCTGAGGGACAAGTTGTTTTATATCCAATTCTAGCTATTTGACATACTGGTAAGCCACCTGTCTGAAATGAGCTGCTGATCAGTTGGATATGGCCACCCCTGGATAATGTATAAAGGGGGGTCAAACCCGACTCACTCACTCACTCACTCATAAGCATTTGCTACTGGCTGTAAGGAGGCAATGAAAACTTGATGTTACTATTGTGACTGTTCCAGATCTGATGGACTTCACCCAGCTGTCTCTCCATGACACAAAGAGGATGGAGATGCAGACTCAGGTTAGTGGTATGGACCAAGGTTGGAGAAAGTGCATGTCACCTCCTGGGACTGTCTTGTGTGTTAATGAAGTGTGTCCCTGTTTCACTGTTGTCTCATCATTTCTCGCCATGTCTCACTGTTTTGTCAGTTCACCATGTGTCACACTATGATCTCACCAAATCTTATCACATGACACGTCGCGATGTAACTGGAATACTGATCAAAGCCACATTAAATCTAACACTTTCTCTCTCTCACCCATTATTATCTCCCCAGTTTGAAAAACAGGGCATATAGCAATCAGCATGTCCGTTCGTCCATCAGGCATCTATTTTCCGTTTCCAGAGAAGAACTCCTAAACTTCTGAATATTCCTTGTTGAAACTTGTTGTAAATGTCAGTCTAGTGGCTTTAGATGATTTAGGATATTTTTATTTTGGGATATTTTTTCATGAAGACAAGTTGGACCTTTACTGAAAATGAGACTAGTGCTCCATTCTGGAGCAGAATTTGAAACTGTTGTATATTTCTGTGTGAAACAAGCTATACAAATCAATCTAGTCGTTACCTCGTACCTTTTGATGATTTGGGATGTTTGCTAATTTATTTTTTCATGTTTTCATGACAACAAGTTGGAATTTACTGACTATGAGGATCGTGCTTGTTTCTGGAGCTGAACTCCAAAACCGTGGGGATATGGAAAAATACTGAACTGTATTATTTTTTTTCTTCTCTGAACTGATGGTATCCAACGGTATCAGTAGCCAAACTCCATTTTCCGAATTGCGCCAGTCCGGTGAGACATGTCATCTCCTGATGACTCTTGTCACATGTTGTCACTGTCTCACCCTATATTCTCACCTGTTCCCAGGTGCGTGTGATTGAGCTGGAGACGATGCTGGAGCAGGAGCGGAGGAAGCTAGGGGATCTGAGGAAGCAGCACTACCAGCTGGCCGGAGAGGTGGGTACCCCGTCATGCACCTCTCATGCTGCATGAACCATACACAATTGTACTCAGACCGTGTAGTCGACTATTACTCTATAGCTGGAAGATGGGATTTAATGTACTGTGTTCATACACACTTGTACTCAGACCGTGTAGTTGACTATTACTCTATAGCTGGAAGATGGGATTTAATGTACTGTGTTCAAACACACTTGTACTCAGACTTTGTAGTCGATTATTACCAGTACATTCATAGCTGGAAAATGGGATTTAATGTACCGTATTCGCCATAATAAGCACAATGTTGCTTCGAAAATTGATAATGGAGGCACTTATTAAAACTAAACACTACAAGTTCAATTTGTTGTCGGAGATGGATTGGTAGTGAACAAACTTAGTTCAAGCATCGATGAAACTAAAAATTTTGTGATTATAGTGACGAGGCAATTATATTCCCCTTCTACACTGATGTTTTCTGTGAAAAATCTGTACTATACACGAGCAAATACCTACTGTCATAAATGTTGGCTCTTAGTAGCGGGCACTTGCAAATTGGTTTAGAAGTTGGTCTTAGGGTTCATATTGGTGCAGAGTGCTTAATATGGCGGATACGGTAATAATTTATGTACATGCACAGTGGGTCAAGGTTGTGTATTATATCAAAATAATTCCAAGAAATTCAACGTTGTTCATTTCTGTACAGAAACACAAGATCAAGCAGAAAAGTTCAATGTTGTTTATATTATTACTTTTTCATATATATCATATATTTGATTCCAGAAATATTTGCAACTAAAACTAGTGATTTTTTCATCATAATCTCTATCAAATAATACAAATGTTGCCAGATTTTGTTCACTAACACCTTGTTCACAAACTGGTTTGGGCGGTGGTGTAGCCCTGTGGTTAAAGTGTTCGCTGAAGGCCCGGGTTCAATTCCCTGCATGGGTACAATGTGTGAAAAGCCTATCTGGTGTCCATGCCGTGATGTAGCTGGGATATTGCTAGTAGCGGCGTAAAACCAAACACACTCATTCACTGGTTTCCTCTGCAAATCTAAAATCACTGAGTATTGGGCAGTGTTTGGGTTTTCTTGACCTTATTGGATAATAGCAACACCAAGTTACATCATTAATGACACCAACATTGATGATGCTATTAGGAAGGAGAGGAGAATGGACTCGGGGAAGATGTCAACGTAAGTTTGTTAAATTCAAGACATTTTGTTGTTTTAGGGGCTACAAATTTCCATGTCACTTCCATTCAGAAAATATGTAGAACATGAAATGAAAAGAAGTTTGGAATATATAGAAGTTGGAAATGACATGTTAATTTTGCTGCAACTCCCGAATGTTAAACAGGTTGGCGTCATGAAACATGGGCTTGAACATCAAGGTTGGCATTAGTGTCAAGGCGGACTAAGTCAGGATCGTCAGGATTTATCATGAAAATTTGATTTTTATATTCTACAGAATAATTTTTTCCATGATATTTGACAGAGGATGTTATATTTTAAGATATTTGCAATTAATCACTTCACATAGCATGATATCGGTCATTGTTATGATGATGATGGTTATGTTTTGCACAAAGAAAGTTCACTATTTTCACTTGTGCATGTAGACAAACCACAGTTACGATGAATTTCCTGCCAGCACGTGTGGATTCAGAAGTGGAAATACTTCACACGTAGTCACCTTGATAGTTCTTATGTTTGGTGGTGCATCACCATACACTCTCAGCTTTCTGCACAGACAGTGGTACATAGCGGTAGCAACACCTAGCGTATGTAGTCATGTTGTAGACATGGAACACTCCCCTGTAGGGATTTCAGGTTAAAATAGGTCCCCTGTACCTCATGCATGTTGTAAGAACTCACTACTAGGAGGACCTGGAGATCAGGCTCAGGGACCAGGACCTCGTTCCACAAAGTGACCTTAGTGCTACGGTGATCGATGATCGTAAGTCTATGTTAAAGTATGGGAGTTACGATCACCTTAGTGCTACGATGATCGTAAGTCTATGTCAAAGTATGGAGTTACGATCACCTTAGTGCTACGATGATTGATGATCATAAGTCTATGTCAAAGTATGGGAGTTACGATCACCTCAGTGCTACGATGATCGTAAGTCTGTCAAAGTATGGAGTTACGATCACCTTAGTGCTACGATGATTGATGATCGTAAGTCTATGTCAAAGTATGGGAGTTACGATCACCTTAGTGCTACGATGATTGATGATCGTAAGTCTATGTTAAAGTATGGGAGTTACAATCACCTTAGTGCTACAATGATGAGAAGGCTATGTCAAAGTATGGAGTTACGATCACCTCAGTGCTACGATGATTGTAAATCTGTGTTAAAGTATGGGAGTTATGATTACGTAAGTGCTAAGATCCCCACTGTGGAACGGGCTGAAAGTATGTGTGGGTCATTGCTCATACTGTCAATCACTGGTTTGTCTTTGATTCTAACCAGCCGGTGGGGATTTCCAGTTAGAGTCGGCCCCAGCAACCTATGCTGGTCTCAAGAGGCAACCACATTGACTCAGGGACTTAGTTGATGGTGTGTCATCGTACCACTACAGCGTGGATCTTTGTTCTTAATGTCAGTCACTGGATTATCTGGTGTAGACACAGCTTTTACAGGCTGCTGTTATATTGTGGGATTATTGCTGAAGATGGGGTTAAAAAACAAACAGACAAAACTTCTAATCAGCGGGAATAGATCCCCAGCAACCGATGCTTGTCATGAAAGGCAACTTCATTGCATTAGGTGGTCAGGCTTGGTGACCCGTGTCAGTGACCCTGATGGTATGGACCATAGTACATTCTATCAATCACTGGTTTGCCTGGCACAGGTTAGATAGTTACAGGTCATTGTGACATGGCTGGAATATTGCTGACTGGACATAAAACATTCACTCCATCTACTCACTTAGATATATTGTGTATATTCTCCGTAGAATATATGTATCTAAGTATGCTATACACTGAAGACTCTGATTATAAGAAATATTGAGGTGATAGGGTGATGGACATTGCCAGGATGCCCTGTAGAACTCTTTGGGTCTCTTTTCTTGCCTTAGGTCACCTTTGTAATTTTGAATATGTACTACCAGTTTGACTATAGTATTCAGTTAAGTCTAACACTTTCATCTACCTAGTTTTGGTGAGTCTAGATACAGCCCATGATGTACAAGTGTGGGGCCTAACACTGCCGATAACTCATAGGTACCAGTAACCCCACTCCAGGAAGGCTTCTTGAAATAAAACCCTTGTGTACTCCAACTCTAAGGCAACTGATTCATGTTTTGCTTTGATACTGAACATTTCTATTGAATATTATCAGAACTAAAACAAATAATTGCTAATGTCCTGTCCTTATGTAGATTCCAGGGTTCCAGAATTTGGGTAAATATCAGCCATATTGCTGACACAATACCCAGTTCAGCTATTCTGAGATAAAGGGACACAGATGACCCAGTGGTCTAAAAAAAAGAAGCTGTAATACTGTATGCAGAGTTGCATCCCTTAAATGAGCCAGGATCTTCATGCTGAATATCCGATTCATTCCAGTGATAGGCCATGGTCTGTCCACACCCTTGCTGCATCAGTCATAAATGTGTTAGCTCCCCCGCCCCTGCCCCCAATTTTAGGATTTTCTTTGATCTATACTACTCAAGAGAAGTAACAGAACACTTAATTATTTCTGATAACTATAGTTATGTCAGGATAGATTAACTATAGTAATATGACAGAATCGGATGTTCTGTAACTTCTTTTGAGCAATATATTTAATGCTGTCATTATGAAATATTATTCACTATTTGAAATTTAAGCATGAAAGTCAAGGAGTCTTGTTGCAGCCTCAATGTTAAAGTTTAGGGGCAAATACCATAGCAGCAGACACCAGCTACTGCCATGTTTCCACTGAACAGTCTATGCAGAAAGCATGTGAGGGTTTGTTTGAGATGGTGTCACCATCTCCACATCGTCCAGTTTCATACTTCAACCTTGTTGATTCTTGTCACTAGTCACCGATAGCATGCTTCAAGCATCCGGCCGTCGCCGCCATTCCTGTTGTTACCACACTAACATTCTGTTACCAACTGATATGTTACCATCTGCGCATTGAAGTCAGGAATGTTCGTCAGACACATATCTCTCATACATGATGTTGTCCACTAAAACAAACACACATTGATTATGTCACGTTACTCAATTAGCAAAGATGTCGCCTTCTGATACTGGGTTCTGACTTGTTATATATCGGTCATATTTTCAGTTTCGTGTTGTCTCAAATTTGAGAATAAACATCCTTAAGTGCTCAGATTAAGGTGTCATGAAACCATTGTTGTTTTATTTGCAAAATCATTTTCTTTCTAACAAACTCAATGTGTGTTTCCAGGACAAATCTAACCATGTTAACAATTATATTGTTTAGTTCTTTTTCACTCGCTCTATGAAAACTGAATCAAAGTTATGGGCAAAGATTGATTTGAAGATTATGAAACCTTAATATAAATTGTTCTTTCTAGAGCTTCTGACTTGACCAACCATTTCTGTACAGATACAAGTTTTACATCCTACCACCAAATTAATGGAGTAGTTTCCGAAGACAATGCTCTGTCCAAATAAAAGCATCTGTCTCTCAACAACCGTGCTGCAATGGTGTGAAATCATTTCCGTGTGCTAAACATTTAAGAAAAACAGTACAAAAAGTAGCAGTTTATTCAAATATTTTTGCCCAAATATGACTTGATCTAGTCCAAATTAACATCAGTTCTTTGCTTGCCGTTTAAACAGTTTTGGAATGTCTTGTTCCATATACATACATGCTACACAATGCAGCCAACATGCCAGTTGCTGCCATTTAGAATAGACGCACAGAATATTTTTATTGTCATATGTTTTTTTCTTTCTTTTTCTCAAAATTGGATGACATATCTTTGAAATCTTGTATTACTGTTGTAAATATTTATTTTACACTCTTCAACTTTTACACCAAAATAACAGCATTTTGTTTTCACAATTCTGCTCTGAAGTCTGACTCTTTCAGATCTAATAATCCATGTTTGATTTTACATCGACTTAAGACATAGATTTCCTAGCTTTTCAGAGGAAACATTTTTTTTAGACATTAAATTAGTTTTACACATACTACATCAGCATTTAATTGATGTGGAATTCCTTGCAAGGTTTTCCTATCCCTTTATAATTTTTTTCCGTGCCTGTTTTTAGATGAGTGTTAGGAATTCATGTTTGGCTTGAAAAAGCATGTTTAAATGTGGTCTTAAGTGTATTAATTTTGAAATAGTTGCCATATGATTGATGTGCATCCACCTGACAGTTCAGACAGTTGCCGTTATTTGTAGGGATAGGCCATTTGTTATTGGGACGGTGGAGCAGAGACTATGTCCATGGATTGGCCCAAAAGGATAATCTGCCCCAAATGTCGAACATTTCTATTTTTGCGAACCTTCCCATAATACTTATTAAAATGTTTTGATGACATTTTCCCTGAAAGCTGTAAGTGAAAGTTGTTAGTTTTTACAAAAATTCTAGAAATATTATATTCATATTTCGATTAATAGGACAGGGCGGCGAGGAAGTCTTGTGCTTAAACCATTCACTCTTCCCGCTGAAGACCCCGATTTGATGCCCCATGTGAACACATGTGAAAACCATTAATGGTGGTATCTGCTGTTGTATAGCTGGAATATTGCTTACAGCAGTGTCAAACCCAACTCACTCACTCACTCACTCAACAAAACAGTAACCTGTGTTACTTGTGTATGATTTTAAAACCTCCTGACGACTTGTGATGTTTTCGGGACAATCCTTGTGTCCTCTCTGACCCACCCTCCCACAGCCTGTAATATATTGCCTCTAGTTCTCCTCAGCTAGATGCAGAAGAACTATATCTTAGCTGGCTTAAGTTAGCTAACATGCTCCGGGGAACTCATTCATGTACCTTAATCCTCTGACTTGGTACTGGTGTTATTAACCATATGAAATGAAATGTTTTCTAGCAAGAACTCTGTCTTATTCCGTTCTATCTATGTCTTGTATTGATGAATGTCCACAGTCAGTATTGAATCTCTGTCAGAAGTGGATGTGAGATCAATTGATTGAGTTTTTTTCCAGGATTATTTTCGGTCCATATGGGTACAGTGTGTGAGCCTATGTCTTGGTGTTCCCTCTGATGCTGCTGGTGTGTTGGTGAAAGCAGAATAAATGCCCTATAAGAGACTTACTCTCCTGAATACCAATGAGCCCGACAAGTGACTAGCCATCTTGCTTTATAACGCTCATTGAAATTGACCACAAATAGGTCATCTAAAATCAGATGTGTCACTGGACTGTGTGTGCTACCTCAAGAATTGTTGCCATATTTGAAATGGCTGTTCACTGACTCCCTCCCCAATACCTCTCCTTATTGCTAGCTGGCCACACTCAGTCTGTGACTTTAGCCACTGGTCCGATGCCGGATCTTGTAAAATTCTGTTGCCCAGTTAACTGGGATAATAATCCATATTATAACACTAAAATCTCCTGAAAATGATGCTTAGAGCCATATTCAGGCAAAGGTTTTTGGCACAAACTGCATGTCATACACACGTTGTGACATCAATACGACTGTCCACATTGTGCCATCATTGTGACCACCAAATCTCCACTTTAACTTTTTGTGATTTGTACAAAGATGGGTACCTGCTGTTACCCTGGAAATTGTAAGTCCAGGAAATTGACAGTGGTGGAATGGAATGATTCAGAGAGATCTTGCTTACGAGTTAATGAAATAGTTTGCAAAATCATAATACTTCATGTCCTGTTGCAAAAAGCAGCATCTGAATTTCAGTTTGTCTGGTTTCGGAGAATCAATTTCTGCCTTTTTTGAATACGTCCAAATGGAAATACAAAGAGAAACTAGATTGGTCTGTTTTGCAACCAGCAACATGAGGTTAATGTTTTTTGCAAAAGATGACTGTTGATGTTTATGTTTCAATTTTGTGACATTTGAATGTTAATGAATTGTGGTGAGATTTGAACAGTTATGAATAATAGTGAGATTTGAGACACTGGTTTATTTGAGTGTTTCAGCATTGTATTATGACATGTAAGTTAGATGGATGGAAGAGGGATAAATGGTTGGATGATGGATGAAATGAAGTTCAAAGGCATATCGCCATCATGACTCAAACTGAAACAAAATTATTTTTTTATTAATTTTTTTTTCACTTTCTTGAGAAACCACAAGCCATTACATGTATGTATACTACTCAAAAGAAGTTAAAGAACACCCAATGACAGATTAGCTATTGTAATATTAAAGAGTGAGGTGCTAGTTTAACTTCTTTTGAGTACTATATGACATATCAATCAAACGTCTGGATATATTTAATGTTTCTGGTTACTAAGACTGCTGAATCTGAGTGGTGTTTTTCTAGTCAGAGGTGCCAGTTTACAAAGACTGGCTAGGGCCCTGGGACTCGGATATGTTGTGATCATTCTCGGGTAACCATGGTAACGGGTAAGACAGATGCATGGTGTGGCCTGCACCAGGTTTTGCCACATGCTGAGATGGCTCCAGTTCTATTGTTGATGACTGAACGTTCATTGACAGCATGGTGTTTGTTTAATTGTGCTGTTGCTTCTGTAATGGGGAGAAAAGTTCTGGTATTAGGAGATGCTTACTACAGGTTTTATGTACCGAAAGATCTTGTACAGAAGTCACAACCATCAACACCGATACAGGAACATTAAGAGCAGGGTTAGAATTGGTCTTCAGCAACCTATGCTTGTCGTACAAGGCGATTAACGTGATCGGGGGGTCAGGTTCGCTGTGTGTATCACAGTTGCATCCGTGTATCGTCTCACCACAAGTAAGTGCTCACCATGTCATCCCACTGATGCATCGGTGTATCATCCCACCACAAGTAAGTGCTCACCATGTCATCCCACTGATGCATCCGTGTATCATCCCACCACAAGTAAGTGCTCACCATGTCATCCCACTGATGCATCGGTGTATCGTCCCACCACAAGTAAGTGCTCACCATGTCATCCCACTGATGCATCCGTGTATCGTCCCACCACAAGTAAGTGCTCACCATGTCATCCCACTGATGCATCCGTGTATCGTCCCACCACAAGTAAGTGCTCACCATATCATCCCACTGATGCATCCGTGTATCGTCCCACCACAAGTAAGTGCTCACCATGTCATCCCACTGATGCATCTGTGTATCGTCCCACCACAAGTAAGTGCTCACCATGTCATCCCACTGATGCATCCGTGTATCGTCCCACCACAAGTAAGTGCTCACCATGTCATCCCACTGATGCATCCGTGTATCGTCCCACCACAAGTAAGTGCTCACCATATCATCCCACTGATGCATCCGTGTATCGTCCCACCACAAGTAAGTGCTCACCATGTCATCCCACTGATGCATCGGTGTATCGTCCCACCACAAGTAAGTGCTCACCATGTCATCCCACTGATGCATCCGTGTATCGTCCCGCCACAAGTAAGTGCTCACCATGTCATCCCACTGATGCATCCGTGTATCGTCCCACCACAAGTAATTAAGTGCTCACCATGTCATCCCACTGATGCATCAGTGTATCGTCTCACCACAAGTAAGTGCTCACCATATCATCCCACTGATGCATCCGTGTATCGTCCCACCACAAGTAAGTGCTCACCATATCATCCCACTGATGCATCCGTGTATCGTCCCACCACAAGTAAGTGCTCACCATATCATCCCACTGATGCATCCGTGTATCGTCCCACCACAAGTAAGTGCTCACCATATCATCCCACTGATGCATCCGTGTATCGTCCCACCACAAGTAAGTGCTCACCATGTCATCCCACTGATGTATCCGTGTATCGTCCCGCCACAAGTAAGTGCTCACCATGTCATCAGTGAAACTCAGCATGCTGTTAGGGTGGCAGTAAGTCGTTGGAAATGGTTTTCATATTTGAGAAAATGTTTTAGAAAATGAAAAGGTCAACATATCTTTCAAGTGTGAACCATCACTTGCTATGATTTGTGTGCATGATTTGGGATGTATGTGATCAATAATCTAATAACTGGTATGTGTTTCCTAATATATCAATGATTTTATTTTTATTTTAAAAAACTCAAATATGTTAGTTTGAGGTTAGTGACAAAAACTGCTAAGTCTTGACTGATTTTGTTTTTACCTGGAGTGTTTAACAGCAACACAACCTGTGAGGTCCAGGTTAGACTAGGTCTTCAGCAACCCATGCTTGTCGTAAGAGGCGACTAACGTGATCGGGTGGTCAGACTCGCTGACTTGGTTGTCGATGCTCTGGATGTCAATCACTGGATTATCTGGTCCACAGTTGTTTACTTACAGGCCACCGTCATAAAGCTGGAATATTGCTGAGTGTGTCGTTAGACAACAAACAAACAAATAATAGCAACAATGTGAATGTTGTTTTTGCATCTTGACAATTTGATAACAAAGTTGGTGTTGATGAAACAGGGTGTAGCCACAGTGCCTGCTGAGTGTGTAGTAGGATAGCTTGTTGGCAAGGCGTGCTGTCAGTGTTGAGCATGAAGGCCACAACTGCCTCTCTACCTACAGTTCTGTAACAGCATGGCCAGGATGAGGGCAGGGCTCTGGTGGAAACCAGATTTCAGAGGACAAGCATGAACGTTTTATGTTCTGTCAGAATGATGAATTAGGAATTATGCTATAGATTATTGTGCCTTGAGGAAACGTTTTTGAAATTATGTAAATTGAACAAATTTCCTGACATTATTTTCATTGTCTATGTGTATGTGACACAATGTTTCTTATTCAATATACATTGAAGCTTTTACTGATGTGTTGATGAATGTTTGATATTTGATTGTGTTAATTTAGTGTTAATTTTGTGTGGTATTTTAGTGTAAATTTAGTGTTAATTTAGTGTTACTGTTCATTTTGGAAGGGATCTCTTTCAGTAATGTTACAATAATTGTCTTTTAACAGTGAATTTGATTTATTGAAAAAAGGTCACTTGTAACATAAATGATTCTTTTTCTTATGTGTTTGCAGAAAAGCTGACGTGGTTGAGGAGAAGGCTGGCGGTGGTATTTTATTCTGAGTGCTGTGTAAAGACTATAACCAAGATGTCCCGGAAAATGTCATACACACATGTCGTCACTTCAGTCATCACGAGAGGTCATTGTGTCACTTAGCCATCAAGGTCACTAGGTCATCCAAGGTCATCAGCTTTGTGAGAGGTCATCAAGGGTCAATGGGTCATTGAGAAGAGTCTTCACATGACACTCACAAAGAGGTCAAATGTCCCCATGCTACAGTAACAGAAGAATGCTATGGATTATTTTTATTTTTATTTTTTAACGATTTTGAAAACATGCAAGGGATGATTGTCAGATATATTGGACATTTTATGTTTTTAGTGACGTGTGTGAATCATAGCTAGGTAATTGAAAGAACTTAAGACATTCATTTGGACTTTCACACATATAGTCCAGAAAATGGAATAATTAATCTGTTACCATTTCTTTATATTCGAATACCCCCACAGTATGTATATGTACAGTTATATCAGATCCTATTAAACAAATATAAGTTTCAACAACTAAAGTACTTGACAACTTTTATGTATTGGTCAAAAGAATATACATGTAATCCTGATACTTAACATATGATATCATTATGCACATTAAACATGATAGGCTCCAGCTAGAAGGGCCAGCCAAAGTGTACCGGTAGTACTTCAGTCTGCGACTTTTGCCACTTGTCCGAAGCCCGAGAAGCCTGATATTGCACTTCTGTAGAGGCGTGTGGAATAAGTCATTTCAGCAGTTAATCCCGTACAGTGGAAGATGGTGGGTGAGTCTTGTGGTTGAAGTATTCGGTATTCAAGCCCCACCCGGGTGCAGTGTTTGAAGCCTGTACAATTTTGATATTTTGATCCCCAACCTTTTATAAATGCTGGATCTGCCCTTGTCATTGCACTGTGGACAATCCATCGGTACTCATTATTAAAGAATTTTTATAATGTAAGTGAAAATTTTGTTCCAAATTGGCCCATGTTATTTAAATTAAATTTTGAGAGCAAAAGAAGTGTACACATGAGTATATTTGCAGTGTTAGTAATTAAGGTTGAAATAATAGTGAGTGTTATGGTCTTAATGTTCTCAGTTATGGATTTAGAGAACTATGATTCATATACCATTGCCAACAACCACAAGGGCCCACTGTCTGTCACTGGAGGTGTGACAGTCTGGCAGCAAGACTACACTAGGTATACATGTGCACATCTTCACATTGAGACTCCATTGAGTGAACACCCTCATATATGTATGTGTATAAATTGAATCTCATACTCACACAATGAATAACTATCATTTCGACATTTCACTGGTCATTTGAACATGTGCTCCAATATGGCCTCATTGTCAGCCATATTGGATATCTGCATTGTCATTGATGTAAAAACTTCATATCTTCATATCATTCACATCTTGGGGGAGGATTCAATGTGTTGCCCATGGCAGTGTTTTATGTACCATATAGGCTGGTGTGGTTTATGACGTGTAAGAAATTGGGTCACACATTCAAACTGCATTGGAAATTTATAGTGTTGCACATGTTTAACATTTGTTATGTATTCAATTCTGGGATAAGTTTGTAATGTACAAATCTCCATGGCATTTCATTCGTTTGTGTAGTTCCTTAACACAAGAAGGGGATAGTGTATCCTGTCTCCAAGATATTGAGTTGACATTTTGGAATATTCAGATGTAACTATTTTGGCACCTTTGTCTCACATGAATCCAGAGTGATGAAATATACTTAATTCATTGACACATGTTAGAAAGCGAATTGGTATATGAGTATCATTTGCCAGACTAATTCTAGGGCGACTAATTTGGACCGATCCACCAAATGGTTGTTTGTTCATGATATGAGTCTCCATGTTCAAGGTATGTTAACATGATTTTATTCTGGTTTGGATGTAACAAGGATACCAGAAATTATTTGTTGCCAACGTTTATGTCAAGTTTTCTTGATGGTTTAAGATGATACACATAAATAAGATGATACACACATGAGTTTTAATAATACATTTTTTTATGATAAAGCTGTAGACTTTGAATGTGACTCGTCAAAATGATAATTGAAACAATTCCCATCGATGCTGAAGAAATCGTAGGGGATTTTATAGAAAAATATATATAGACCCAGACATTCTTTAAAAAAATAATTATGCTTCAAACTGTTGGAAAAAAATTGCCTGCCACAAAAATGACATTGTTGCAAGGTGTGATAACATGTGTAATAACTTTCTGATATTTGCACATGTGCATTTTCGTGATTCTCAATGCTGATTGGTCAACTGAAGCCATAAGACGTCACAGTGCTTCATTGTTGAGAAGATTTGATATGATGTTATCCATTGTTCTTGATGTCACAATTACATGACATCAACTGAACAATGGGCTGCTTTCAGTGAAGTAGGGTTGACATTGCACACAGGTGTTTTTTTTCATTTTCTCTCTTAAAGTGTCATCAGGTAATATATAGAATAACCTACCCGTAACTCTGCATTACGGATTATCTGTCCCTAGTGAATAAATACTGTAAGTCCCTCCCCAAAGACACGGGATCAACACCATTCATTCTCTCCGGTCAGATAATTTGTCATTCCTCGTAGCTCGTTGGTTATTCTCTAATCGTATCACAGGTGTATAGGTTAATGGTCTCTCTGACAACTTTTATACATGTTTATTATCATGCTTTTGCTATCTTTCTATCTTTAACGCAATCCTTTTTAATATTTTCCTGAAGAAGCTCTCCTTTTCATGTGGATAAGTGGTACAGGAAAATATTTCTTTTGAAACTTTACAGTCAGCTGATATTGAAGTTTATTTCTGAGATGCTCTGTGTACAGATCTACCAACCGAGGGTTTGTTTTATTGTGACGACTAAGGTATCTAAGATATTTCTCAGCTTGAACAATATGTAGGTGTGAATTCAGTCCTTCATGACTCTTTAATCTAGGCTAGAACATTTGGTTATGTATGTGTGTGTATGTTTCCTGGTAACCAAATAGAAAATGGCAAGTTTCATCCCAATGGAAATTTGACAAATGTGATAATTTGTTTGTATTGTGCCAAGCAATGTGTTTGTGGTTACGTATCCAGCAACCAAGTATGTCGACTTTAGTGAGGTTTGAATTATCAGTGTAACCTTTAACCTGTAGTCTTTACCCTGCCACCTTTTCTTGTCTCTTATTCTCCTTCCACTTCCACACATATTTTTAGCTTTGAGACACAACAATCTTTTTCTAAAAATGAAAACACTGCCGCCTCTTTTTAACGGCATTTTTGGGTTGTTTTTAAAAGGTACAGATGGCTATTATTCAACCAGTCACCTTGGTGTTAGACGTTTTCTTGATACTAGAAAAAAAGGATGAAGATCACTTACTGAAATCCTACAAAGAATTTAACTGGTCTCCAGTAGGGTGGAATTATTTGGTTTGTCTATAAAATAAAATATAAACTTACCATTCATCGTTTATGCCTTACTGTCTGTGATTGTCTATAATTCTAGTTGTGAATGAAAGATAGGATTTCATTTTTGCAACAATGAAGTTTTTAAAGGAAAATGTTTCTTGTGAATTTGTGTTTTTTATTGTACTGTCGGTCTTACTTTTCTTCTTTGTAGAGCAAACAAAGCTGAAGTTGCACATGCCAAGGAGTCAGAGTTTGTACAAATCATGTATATTTGGTACCCAGCTAGATAGAGTTAGGTAAGCTAGAGTTGAGTTCAGTAAGTGTACATATTTGAGTGTCTGAGTTGGCAAGGGTGTTATCCAATTGGCTGGAAGGTGTTTTTTTAAAAGTTTTGTTTGTTTGAGCATCAGTCTCCTTAATATGTGTCACTGACAAACAATATTGCTCGGTCAATATTAGCCTTGAGATGTAACATAATGCCATTGAGCACGCGTAAACTTCCTACTAGTCATAATTGTGAAATGTTGTAGTGTTCAAGCAATGTTATGTCTCGGCTTTGCCCAGCACTCTTAAAGGGGGTCTGTGCTCAAAGGGTTAACATCGGAACTGTCATTGTATCAAGTGTTAACAGCGATACAGTCATTGTATCAAGGGTTAACATTGATACTGTCATCGTATCAAGGGTTAACATCGATACTGTCTTAGTATCAAGGGTTAAAATCAAAACTGTCATAGTATCAAGTGTGAACATCGATGCTGTCATAGTATCAAGGGTTAACATCGAAACTGTCATAGTATCAAGGGTTAACATCGATACTGTCATTGTATCAAGTGTTAATATCAATACTGTCATTGTATCAAGTGTTAACATCGAAACTCATAGTATCAAGTGTTAACATCGATGCTGTCATAGTATCAAGGGTTAACATCGATACTGTCATAGTATCAAGGGTTAACATCGATACTGTCATAGTATCAAGGGTTAACATCAATACTGTCATAGTATCAAGTGTTAACATCGATGCTGTCATAGTATCACGGTTAACATCGGAACTGTCATAGTATCAAGGGTTAACATTGATAAAATGAACCCCTTAAATGTACTGTTTATTTTTAGAGAATATTCATAACTTTATCATTTACAATATTCAGAGTGATTACCTTATCCTGTGTTTGGTTTTCATCCAAGACTTGTCGTCAGTATGATCCTGGGTTTGTCAGCACTATCCCCATGTACATGGGTTTCAGTAACAAGGTAAACATCTCAAGGCCTGATTCACTTAGGGCCACCATACCCGTGCTCGTGGGTTTCAGTAACAAGGTAAACATCTCAAGGCCTGATTCACTTCAGGCATTCCTCCCACGTCAAGCTGGCAGGCCGGGGTGTAAGTGATGAGGTGTTTCAAGCAGTGTTATACCCAGCTGAATCACTCCGTTGTCAACAGAACTTAATTACGCGTTGATGGTGTTGAAGCAGTTCATGAATCTACCCAATTGTTTAGCAACAGAAAGCTGTGCAAGCCATTGCTTTATAACAACATATTCATGCTAGCACACTTTGTCAAGTGTAATTACCCCAAAGATCTGCCAAAAGGTTTGTTTTTTTATACTTCAACATTGTGTTGCTTTGAAGAAAAGTGGACATGTTCCTTGTGTTAAAGGTGAGCAGATTGTAAACTGTTTGGTTTTTTTCAGTTTTAAAGGGTTTTTCACTTCCTTTGTTATTGATTGGGATTTTATTTCTGGTGCTGTTTAAGTCTTTGTTGTAGCCATTTCCTCAGTGCCTTAGTTTTCATGTGTAGAAATAAACTGGGATTTTTGTCACAAGCAGTTAATTATGTCAATTAACACACACCAAGGTACCCTGGAATGGCTCATGTTAAAAAGCCCAGATGAACTCGGTGGATTTGAAGATTGTTTTCTCCACCTTCAACCTTCAGTTTGATCATGTGTTTCTGGAAACTGATGATTGTTGAATTTTGACATCAAGTATGTCAATTGAAATATTTCTGTGAGGTATTAATCTGTTTACTTAAGATATTAGGTAGTGCTATGCTTACAAATGAAGTTATTATGATGGATTGATATTTGATTAAAATACTCGGATTGCTGTTGAGATATTGTAGGATTTATGGCAACGCTTGTGAAGATCATGATGAAGGCCCATTTGCACCTCATACTTCTACACAGACTTGCATCCTTCGTGCTACAGACGTGCATCTGGGTCGGGATCTACTGTTTGTTGTAAAAGACGAAATGGCGATCAGGTAGCCACAGTGATGGATAGTACACGGATGGTCACCAAGGAGAACTTTCCTCTGTGACCTGGCTGTGTCATGGTACCTGATGGTGTGGATCAATGCTCATGCTATCAACCACAGGTTGACCTACTAATGGCCTCTTAGAAGTCAATATTCCAGTTATGATGCTGACTTGACAGTAAACCTTGGCATGGTCTGTCACAAAAGAAATTTTATTTGAATGCTTTTCTCACTGTTCTTGAGTTATGGTCATTCCAGAGTGCAATACAATTCTTCAATTCTTGAAATTGTGGAACAGTAATATATCTGAATTGTCTAATTCTATTATTATACTAAGCATACTATACCTCAGCATTTCTTTCACTTATAACCCATACAGAGTTGTATTAACAGGGTTCATGATTATTTAGACACATTGTAATTTTGACCAATGAAATGTATTTATTTAAACTTGTATTACAAAGTTGTGTGTCATACTGCCTGTTTGTGAATGCATTATATAAATCATTTTTAATCTATACTGATGTGTATTCTGTTTATGAAGATCTACTCTACTCTTTGTTAAGCTTTATAGAGCAGTGAACCATCCCACTGCAATGTTCATTGTTGGCTTCACGTTAACCTGGAAGTTTGTTCGTCCCTCTTGTCCTCAAACAATCATTTTGAACTATGTTTTTGTAACCCAGCACAATAAATCATTATCAAGATTGTGGTCTGAGAGAAAATAGTTAAAATTTTGAACTTTGATTTGTATTTGTTTTAGATTTGAAAAAAAGCTAAAATTCTTTACAGCTGAGATGAAAAGGCTTCTTCTTGGAAATAAGGTGCGGTCGGGTAGCCTAGTGGTTAAAGCGTTCGCTCATCATGCCAAAGACCCGGGTTTGATTCCCGATATGTGAAGCCCATTTCTGGTGTCCCTCACAGTGATATTGCTGGAATTTTGCTAAAAGCGGCGTAAAACCACTCACTCACTCACTCTTGGAAATAAACCGCAGTTCCTTGTAGCTTGTCAGTTATTCTCATAATATTAAGTACGGTTGAATTTGTGAAATGCACTAAGCCTTCAGTTGTGTAAGCAGTTCATTAGTTTGATTCTTGTCATCTGTATAGACAGTGTGACATTAGAGATGAATATCTTTCTTATGTGAGTTTTGAAGTATTGGATTACTACCAGGGCCTCTGTCATGGACAAACTCGTTGTTATGAGAGTTGTTGTAAAAGGCCGTTCAATACACTGAAACGAAAGTTATGTTTTGTTGCGCCCAAAGTCATAACCCTAGGCTACTGAATAGTTCATATGAAAGTGTTCTATTTGTTTTCTTTGAGATATGGTTTGACCTGATTGTTGGAGGACAACTAAAGTGTTCGTGTCTGTACACAGCAGTTTGTGTATGTGTGTGTCTAGGTAGTGTCACTCTACATGCAAATTATTTATTTAAACTACTGACATATGCATCTATGTAAACTTTCAACAGAAATAAATACATCATGTCTACACTCATCTGGAGTTGTTACGTATGTCCCGGGAGATGATGTTCGGAATGACCTTGGAAGACAGCTTTCTCTCCAGCTTAACTGGGGCCATGTTAACGCAGTCGTTGAGGGTGACGCAATTCATTGTTCAAAGCTGCATTTCAGAAATCTGTGATCTGTAGGAATCCCAGATTCGCCCTGATTGTGTTTCTTTGTGTTTCAGAACCGTGCACATGGTGGTATCTTTAGTCTGAAATGCTGTGATAGGACTGAAATATTTGTCAAAGCGTTGTTAAACTCCAAACTCACTCACTCTAGCTTAAGTGGAAATTCCCCTGAAGAGCTCATTGCATCATCCATCATTGGATTGCATGGTTTGAGAACAATTTAATGATCCACGAGGGAACAGTGTGTTAAGACCATTGATGATGTCTTGGCTGGGACCATCTGGACCATCTGGAATATTGCTGAACGCTATGTAGCACCATACTGATCTTTTGTTTCTGTAGCTTGGAAGGGAAGCTTCATCTTCAGGAAGGAACACAGATGGACATTCACTGTGTAGACTTGCATCTCTTGGGCATGACAAAAACCTTTGATCTTGGGTCCCGATTTTGTTTCTAGGTCTGTGAGCACCATACCCTGTGCTTGTGGGTTTCACCAAAGTGGTAAACTTCTAAGTGAGTGAGTTGGATTTAATGCTGCTTTTAACAGTATTCCGGTTATATGCAGTGATGCAGGTGTCGGACGTTTACCACTTCGGTGAAACCCACAAGCACGGGTATGGTGCAGACAAACCTAGAAACATAATCAGGGCGAACCAGAATTCGAACCCGGAATCATAAGTTTCCGGTGTGCCAAAGGGACGCAACTCTGCACAGCGAAATTGCAGCGCCTGTGCACCCATAAACGTCTAAGACATCGAGATTTCCTCCCACATTAAGAGACACTCTGTGACATAACTGCAATACTGTTCAAAGCAGCACTAAACCCTACTCACTCTCACTCACTCATCCCCACTCACAAAAACAACACAAGACAAATGATGTATGAAGCAGATATTTATGCATAATTATATTATTAGATAAACTTTCCAGGCAAAGAATAGTCAACAACAGAGCTTTTTAACTCGAGAATATCACAGCTTGACATTGCATTCTAAGAACATTTTCAGTTACGTAGTTTCAAGATTTCAACAGTGAGCAAGTAAGATTTTAAGTTTCAATGCATTATAAGTTGTAGTGGTATCACAAGGGGTATATGTGGTTTTATGTGTCCCTTGAGGCCGAGGCACGGATAAAACAACAAATACACCATGATGCTACTACAATGAATTTATCTTGCCGACATGTTTCAATCTGCCATTGTCAAAGAATGAAAACAAATTGAAAATTGATAGAAAACAGAGCTGAGGTTAACTTGTGTTGTCACATGACCTTCATTGACTCATAAACAACGCACAGCTTTTTGCTTCATACTGGGGTGCAAAAGATCTATTCTCCCGCTCCTATCCATGTGCAGCCTAGCTGTTTTCTTCGTGGCAGGGTATAAGGGATTTTCTCCCACTCATTGGTATTTTATCAAGATCACATGAACCAATCAGATCCAAACATAAGTTAAGATAACAATATTTAAGTTGGAACCCTATATCACTATCATAACAAAGCATTTGCCCAGTCACACACTCACGCATTTAAAACAAGAGTTTGCCACTAACGTGGCTATATCCCCTGCCCCTGTTGCAGAATTTATGACATAATTAAATCTAAACAAACCCTAACCTTTTTTAACCGAGGTGGAACTCATGGAAATTGTAAAAAAAAGAAGAGTTTGGAATCTAAGTCCATCTTGTTGCCATGGAAATGTAAAAAATAAAAATTTGTAAAATTTCTAACTAGTAAAAGGCACCAGTTCAGCATGTACCTGACAGACCTGCAAAGTTTGATGAAAAAATATTGATCGGTTTATCAGTTATGCTCCGGAAACGAACCCTACCCTAACAGAACCTAAGTCCATCTTGTTGCCATGGAAACGTAAAAAATAAAAATTTCTAAATAACAAAAGGCACCAGTTCAGCATGTACCTGACAGACCTGCAAAGTTTGATGAAAAAAAAATATTGAACGGTTTATGAGTTATGCTCCGGAAACAAAACGTGACGGACGGACGGAGCCCGTTTCTATATCCCCTGCCAACTTTGTTGGGCGGGGGATAATAATAAAGTGAATGTCTTGCCTTTTACTATCAGTGGGGCATCGGTGGCCCTGTCATCTTAGGCGTTGCAAATCCCCCTGCAGAGTTGCATCCCTTTGGCATGTCAGACTCCTATGATCATGGGTTTGAATCCCGGTTCGCCCCGATAGTTTCTATGTTTGTCACCACCATAACCTTGCTCGCAGGTTTCACTAAAGTGGGAAACATTCGAGACCTGCATCATTTTCCTCATACATTAAGCTGACACACCATGATAGAAGTGGAATACTGTTCAAAGCAGAGTTAAACCCAACTCACTAATATCTTAAGTGGGGTCAGTAAATAAGGGGTCCATGAGGTTGGTTGTTTGTGTCTCTAGTGCTGTATGGCCCATCCTTAACTTTCCCCTTCACTTTCATTCTTAATTTCAATCACTGGTAGATTTGATAATACGTGAAAAATGTTACATATTAACAACGTAATGAAGAGTATATTTCGGTGATTACTTCACCATGGTATGTTCCGTAATGGAGAAATCATGAGAATCTGTTGATTCTACTTCCCGAAGACTTAAACCATGTTATGGTTGATAAACTATTCTATAAATTTATTTCTTTAAATTCAGAAAGGCCAGTGACTTCCTGGCTCAGAATCAACTGTGACAATAGTGTCATCATAATGGTTTGATGAAACAGTGCAACGATATCTGTAAAAAGTGAAAACTTTACGTCAGGAGACGTCGCTAATGAAAATAACAAAGATGGAAACCCTTGTGAAGAGTGAAGAAGAGAATGTGACGACGACGACCGGTAGCAAACAGCAAAACCCTTCGGAGAACTATTCCTTTTCAATTAGCATACAGCATGTACAGCAATGATGTACCAATGACATAATAAAATATTTAAAAAAGACTATCGGGATATTAATAACAGCATAAATACCATCTCAATAAGTTCTTTCATCACTACCATTTGTTTTTTACATCTATTAGCCTGGTTTTGTTGGTAGAGGCGTCTCGTACAGTGACACCCTGCTTCCACTAACACCTACTGGGAATGATAAGATGTAAAACTAAAGGCATAATATTACATACCCAGGGAACTTTAGATATCACAAGGAACAGTACCACCCCTGTCCACTGTGGCTTAATAACATAACGTTATGGTCCCTACATAATCCTGGTCCAATGTTGACAAGCTTTCACTGTATATGGTCCTGCAGTTGTTATGATGCCATACATATCTTGATAGTAAGGTTCTGATATGATACAAAGGGCTCAATTTAGTGATATCAACATGCACTAGTGCAACCTATAACTGAAAAATGTAACCTGATACTTAGGTCTACATACTTCAAATTGTGTAGCCTAGTGGTTAAAGCGTTCGCTCGTCACGCCGAAGACCCAGGTTCGATTCCCGACATGGGTACAATGTGTGAAGCCTATTTCTTGTGTCCCCCGCCGTGATATTGCTGGAATATTGCTAAAAGCGACGTAAAACCATACTCAGTCAGTCATGTGTAATTTCTTAGGCGTGATGTCATCAAACTGTGGGTACATTAAGATTATGTGCACATGTTCCTATGACATATTATAGAAATGCGTCTTTAATCCACGTGACACTGGCAGCAGGCCATGTTTCAATGTATAGGACCAGGATGCAACCTGGTTTTGTCTGATGCAATCTGGTACAAGTTAAATCAAGTTCCTTAAATCGTGTCTTGAGACACAATGTGATACATGCATATTGACACTAGTCTTGTCTTGAGTTGTATTCCATCAACTTGGGAATCAAAGAAAGCTCAATCAAATGTAATGCATTTGGGTTAAATCATACACCAGTGCCTTGAGACCACTTTTATGTATCAGCGGAATATATGATTTTACAAATAATGTATATACTATTTTACATGTTACCTTAATATGTGTGTATCATGCAGTATCATTTTCCGAGTTCTGTGATGGGATTTGAACCACAGACCTGATCAGGTTGGGCAACTTGACCACATGACCAATATGGTGAACCTATCAGTGAGCTGTAAAGGACTGGATGTCTTCATGACACATACAGGTTTTATTGAAATCGTGGCTCTTGTGTATTCAAAATAATTTATGGTTTTTTTTAATGAAATTGGAATCTATCAGTGACGACCAGGTAGTCAAGTAAAGAATGTATGGCTAGTTTCTGTAGGCTGCAGAACCCATGATTCTCAGAAGCAGTCAATAATTACTACGACAGACCTCAGAATTGAGACCTACATCATCCAAGTCAACATGACGTGATTCGAAGTAATTGTGACTTCAGTAGACAGGGTTTGATGTCTTGTGAACATCTATCTTTTTTCATGCCCATCATCAAGAGTATCATCTCTCCATTAGTCATAGATCTGCATGAAAGCTGATTTTTCTGCTGGTCTGTTTTCTTGTTCCTCATCAGTGTCTGAAACATGAAAGAAGGATCTCATCCGTTGGTTACCATGAACATGTCTTCACCTCCCCACTCCGGCACCGTGATGACTCAGTGATATACCACTGCCTCAGGAGAAACCACATGTGCTACATATGCTTCAACCACTCACCTTCCGCTTTCCAGGCACTCTGTCCCCTTCACCACAGAGGTGGTCCTCTTATCAGGAAAGTGTAATTTGAAAGATGATTTTTAGCATAAGAGCATTCAAACGGAACTCAAACCTTACCCATAGCAATGAATGAGTCCCAGGTATAATAAAATAGAATGGAGACATAATTCCCTGGCTAATCAATGCCGACCTTCCCCACTGGTAAACGCACAAGGAATATTGGACCAAGTATGATTAACACATTCTTGGTGGCAAGAGA